CTAACTATATTGGGGCAAAAGACTAGCTGCTTCAATCATTTCCCTGAAACCTCTAATCAGTTAGACATCAGGAAAAATGATGTAACATTTCGTTTACATACAGAGCTGTTCACCAATGGAACAATCTGCCTCAAAATGATGTTTAACCAACTACAGTACTTGGGTTATATTCTGTACTTAAAAACACATTGTAGCTCAAAGTGATATGTAAATAAATCTATTGTTTAGGACACAGGTCGGCAACCTGCAGCTCTGGAGCCACATGCAGCTCTTTGAGCCTTCCCCTGCAGCTCCCAGCCTCCTCTGCCATTTGCAGAGAAAGACAGAGCCTCTCTCTCTCTCTCTCTCTCTCTCTCTCTCTCTCTCTCTCTGTGTGTGTGTGTGTGTGTGTGTGTGTGTAAAAAAGAGAATAACCTCACCCTGTTCCGACGAGCTGACAAGCTTATTGGGCAGGGCTCCTCCCTTTGATGCATCTCTGCAGGAAGCAGGAAGGGCAGGAGAGAGCTAGCTAGCCCAGCTATGCTGACTCAGGAATTCTGGGAGTTGAAGTCCATGAGTCATAAAAGAGCCAATGTTGCCTACCCCTGAGTTAGCCCAATAAGAATGTGTGTCAGCTTGTTGGAGAACAGCTTGAAGCCAGCTTGCCAGGTGAGCAGAAGATCGGAGAGAGAAAGAAAGGGGGGGAGAAAGAAAGAGAGGGAGAGAGAGGGAGGGAGAGAAAGAGAGAGAAAGAGAGAGGGGGAGAGGAAAGAGAGGGAGAGGAAAGGGAGAGGGGGAAAGAAAAAGAGAGAGAGAAATAGAGAGAAAGGGAGAGGAAAGAAAGAGAGAGGGAGAGGAAAGAGAGAAAGAGAGGAAAGAGAGGGAGAGGAAAGAGAGAGAGGGAAAGGAAAGAGAGAAAGGGAGAGAAGGAGAGAGAAAGAGAGGGAGGGAGGGAGAGGGAGAGGGAGGGAGAGAGAGGAAAGAGAGAGGGAGGGAGGGAGAGAGAGACAGAGAGAGAGAGACTCTTTTGACATCTAAAATGAAGATAACACTGCATATATCCTTTTTTACCTTTATGATATACATATACATATATATATACATATACATACATACATATCATAGCAAGAGCTGCTATGGGAGGAGATGACGAACGGCTTGGAAGGAGAGACAAAAAAGGAGGGGGAGTATGAAGCAGGAACATCTGTATAGTTGTTCTTTGCAGGATCAGGGAGAGGGAGCTACAATCACCAGATCCACCAACAGGCTGCCGGATGAGAATCAATTTAACACATTGCAGAGTAACATAGCTAATGAGCCAATGACACGCTCGAGGAGCCGGGTGCAGAGACAGGCAGCTGTATATAGGCAAGCTCCCTAATCACCTAGCATTTTAACTCTGATGATGTCAGTAGTTTGGCTGATGAAAGCTCAGTAAGTAACCTTTTTTACTCACAGGCTTGTTTATATTAAACAGTCCTGTTTATTTTATCCTGGTGTTCGTTTTTCTTATATTTTTATACATACATACATACATACATACATACATACATACATACATACACCTATAATAAAGGTAAAAAAGGATATATGCAGTGTTATCTTCATTTTAGATATCAAAAGGGTTTTGCGGCTCCCAGTGTTTTGTTTTCGGTGGGAAACAGGTCCAAGTGGCTCTTTGAGTGTTTTGGGTTGCCTACCCTTGGTCTAGGAAATGCTCAAGAAAATAGAAATGATAAATTCCATGAATTGCTATTCATTTCCATCTAGCACTTACAAAATTCCCTGAAAGGTAGATAACATAATTATTAAAAGAAATCCTTTAACCATTCTTACCATAAAAAACACACAAAGAAAAGGGAAATAATAGAAGTTAAAAACTAGAAAAAGCACCATAATTTAAAATAGTTTAAAGAATTATTATACAGATAACTGGAAAAAGACATAATCCTCATACCTTGATGTATTTTTTTGCAAGGGGGAAATTTAAATATTTTTAAAGATTTTAAAAGCAGCTATTGTCTCCAACCTATCAGCATTACTAAACATTGTTTCTTAAGCACTGAATAATTTTCTGATATGCTACTTTTCCCTTTGTTTCAGCCAGGAGAATATCAAGAAGCTCTTTATTTTAAGAAGCAGCTTCATCCTGATAAGAAATCTGATACCAGTCATGGTTCAGAAAACAAGTTCAGCTCTGAATTTAAAAACAAGATTCTAAACAAATACAAAGTAACTGGAATATCAGAAAACCATACCCAAGAATCTCGGAACAAAGCTGTTCTCTCTTTAAATGATGATTACATTAAGAATTTTGGCAACAGCACTTTTTCTCCAACATACATTGGTTTGGGCTCAGAAAAGATGACACATCTTAGACTATTAAAAAATTACAATGAACACAAACCCTCTACAGTATTCCATAATTATGAAGGGAAAGAATCTTTATCAGACAATGTAAGTCCTTTCAAAGATTTAAAAGAGGAAGATAAAAAGGCTACTAGACATGAATTGTCACATTTCCTTGAACTTCAGAATTCTAACAATGTCTGTGGCAAAGACAATGATTCTGGTTATTTATCAGAACAGGATTTAATAGAAAAAGTAGTAGATATGTCAAATTATGATTTTAAATTGAGGAGGTTTTCAGAACTGGAGGGTTCAGCAGATGAATTTCAAACACTCACTGCCTCATCTTCAGAAAATTATCAAAGTACACTGAAAACAGCATGCAAGGACAAATATAAGAATAAAGAACATCTCATGAAAGATAGTGCAATCGACAAATTGCAGATAAATCTGTTCTCCAAGATGCTTAAAAAAAATGAAACACAACTGCTTAAGTCAAATCAAGAGTTCCAAAACTATGTGGATTTGGAATTCTCTGATATAAATTCCGTACCTGATGATTATGCTGAAAGCCGTAGACTTTTACACTTGCCCTTGGGAGAGTCTGACCATGCTCAGAAAAAAGAGATGGTTCTACACGAAGATATGAAGACTCAAATGAAACCTCTTACTGATGTTATGCAGTGTCTGACAGAGCAAAATTCAAAATATCAGAATCAAATTAAGGAATTGCATGATGAGAATAATAACCTTCAAGAGAAATTAGTTAAATCAGATGGAGACAGCAAGGAATGCCTGAAAGAACTAAAGCGATTACTGAAGAAATGCAAAGAACTTCAACAGCAAAAGTTAGCACTGGAAGAAAAGCAGGATCAGCTATATGATCAAAATCAGCGGATAATGAGAGATGTAAATTATTTTCAGAAGAAAGATCAAAAAGCCCAGGAAAGTTTGGCTATTTTCTCAAAAGAAAAAAGTAATCTTATTGCAACCTTAGGATCTTTGGAAAATAAAGTTTTAGTACTTCAAGAAGAAAAAAAGACATTGGGAGATGATATCTGCCAACTTAAAGAAGAAAAACAATTGTTAGGAAAAGAGCTTGGAGAAAAACAGAATGAGATACAAAAATTGAAAGAAAATGAGAAGATTGCAGTATCAGATATGGAAGCTGTTCTTAGGATGTTACAGTCATTTAAAGATGAAAAACTGAATTCTGATAAAACATTACATGTGGCACTGAGTTCTAAAAAAGTATTGGAGAAAGAACTCCAGGATGCCCAGTCAGACAGAGCTCAAGTTGAGGAAAAGCTTCTAACTGAACGTAAAAATGCAAAAATAGAAAGTGGAGTTTTGAAAACTACTTTATCCAATACTGAAAGAGAATGCGAACGACTAAGAACCATGATAACTACCATTACAGAAGACAACAAGGTTCTCAAGAAGCAGCTGAATGTATTTAAACAGGAAACCTATGAATGCAAGCATAAAATAAGACAACTGAGTGAAACAGTCTTACTAAAAGAAAATGTAACACGTTCCATAGAGAATGAAAGAGATGCACTAAGGTTTGAAGCACAGCGTCTTCAAAAGAACAATGCTAACCTCAAAGAGCAAGTTACTACTTTGGCCAATGAACAATATAAGCAAGAGTGCAAATCCAGAAGCCAAAAGCAAAATGATTTCTCTATAGATTCTACTCAAATTTGTGAAGAAATATCTAGGTATCAACGTATTTCTTTAATGCGCGATCTACCAGGTAAGTTTTGCTATATAATATATAATTTTAAGAGCCCTCATGACACAATGGTTAAAGTGCAGTATTGCAGGCAAATTCTGCCCACAGCCTGGAATTCGATCATGACAGAGCTCAAGGTTGACTCAGCCTTCCATTCTTCTGAGGTCAGGAAAATGAGGACCCAGATTGTTGGGGGGCAATATGCTGACATTATAAACCACCCAGAGAGTGCTATAAAGCACTAAATGCTATTGCTAAAAATCTATTTTAGGTTAAATTCTTAGTTAATGTTAAATTAAGTTGAATAATTAATTTATTAAATTAATTATTCAACTAAATGCTATTGCTATTGCTAAAAATCTATTTTTAGGTTAAATTCTTAGTTAATGTTAAATTAAGTTGAATAATTAATTTATTAAATTAAATTATTAAATTATTAAATTAAATTTTATTAAATTAAACAAGTAAATTGTTTTTAGAGAAGAACAAAATATTTAAACTATAACTGTGAGGAAACCAGTGCCAATATCAATATATCAAGTTGAAGGGGCTCAGCATCGTATTCAGCAGAACCTTTCCATTCATATGCATACAAATGCTCATCCCTTTTCTGTTCTGATGTATACAAACGTACATGCAAATCATGATGAACCAGCCATGACCTTTAGTGGGAAATTTAGCCAGGTATTACACTATACTCCTTTAGCCAGACAGAAAAGGATGAATAGGAAGGCTTTATGGACTGTTTTCTACAAACTCTCAAACTTTGGACATTTTCATTTGTATCCAATATTGAGAACTGAAAATGTAAGTATATTCATATTGACCTTTTTATATATATCTAAAAGCATTTTAAATTAGGGAAGTGAAGTCACAAAAGTAACCAGTCAATATTTTGTAAGAGATAAGGCTCTAGTTTTACTTAAATTTACAGTTTCTGGCAAGAAAGAGTTTTAGATGACCTACTGAAGTGAATGTGGAATAGACCACGTATTTTAATCATTAGAAGGCATGTGAATGTAACTGAGAAGTATTGTTTAGAAATGATTATTAATATTGATAAAAAGTTGGAAGCGTTCATAGCTTGGATAACTTTTTAGCAGTATTGGTTTATAGATTTGTTGCTATCACAAATTGCCTCCTTTGATTTTGTTTGTAAAGAAAACTGTCTTTTTTTCTAGGCAGCTCCAGGCAAACTCCATCAATCAATCCTTCAATGACACTATAATAAAACATCTTTGAAACCTGTTTAAAACTCTAATCTAATTTCTACCACTTTTCTTTAAGCTTTATGATAACTTTTGAAATGTTCCAGAGGTAATCAAGAACAATGACTTTTCACTTATATTTTTTTTTCTTTTCATTTTGAGTGATGGAATAGTACAAATACTAATAAATGTTAATAATGGACTGGAAGAAGCTAATTTATCTTGTATCAAATCCTAGTAACTCCTTGAAGAAACCCAAATATTATTACTTTTCCATATATCGAAACATGCATACGTTAGAAACGTATCGACATACTATTGTCAAAAAAGTATACATAATATTGTATGAGAGCATTGTAGCTCTATACAATTAATTGATAGTCAGATCAACTAATATAACAATAATATCCTTATAACTGATGAAAATATTTTCTACAGAATCTTTTTCATGACCAATGAAAAGTGAGTACCATTGAGTTTTATGGGATATACTTCCATATATATGTGCATAAAAAAGCAAGTTTGTTGCTAAAGCTAAAACAATTACTGCATTAACACAATAGGCTTTTTGTTAAAGGCAGGAATTATCTAGAAGAGGTGGATGAAACTTCGATTCCAAAATTTGATTCGCTGACAGTTCAATCAAAGGAAACTACTTCAGTTTTCTGAATTTAAAAAAAAAATTAAATCACTGAAAAATTTGAACTATTTAGATGCTGCTACACATGTGCAGAAACAGAATGTTTCAGATTCAGAAATCCAAACTGAATCAGTTATTTATTTTGAATTGTTCTATCTGAATCAATCTAAATGTTGTTAATGATTGGCACAAACGATCAAATTGGATTAGCTTTTTAAATCAAAACAATAGGATCAGGGCTGATTTGCACACCTCCACTATCCATATTGTAACACAGTACATTCAAATGTTTCTCTTACTTTTCCTTATTTAAAAAGAGAGATGTGGAGCAACCATAAGTTCTGCATGAACATGGAAAGGATATTATTAGGTTACTGGGGCTGCTTAACTCTTAAGATCCAAGTACTCTAAAACAGACACTCATATGAACAAATTGTTCCCAATCTTTCAAATCCCTTTTCAACAATTTCCAAAAACTGAGAACATTCTCATTGTTGGCATTCAGATTATTCTATCCTATGTTTATAGCTGCAAATTTGCCCAACCTTATTTATATGTGTAAATCTAGTGATGCTGAAATTTAATCAGATCTAAATTATCTTATCACAATTACGTCAGCTAAACTACATACTGATTTCTCAGTGTCACAAACAACTATATTTCCTATCACTCACCACATGAGAATTTTCAGCAAATTTAATGCGATTTGAAGTTCACACAGTCAGGAAACTAATACAGAACTAAGATAGAACTAAATGTATATACTCTTCTTAAGACAGATTACAGAAGCAACCATTTTATATTTTATTGTTAGTATTTATATATTCAGTATTCTATGAACACAGTGTTTTTGTAGTATACTGTGATTAAAATCTGGATTTTTTCCCCCACATTTAGAATTTTAATAATGAACTTCCTTGGTTTCTCATTTACTTGTCTATTTACTTGCCTATTTGTGTTCCAACACAGATCATCCCTCTCTTACTGTTTAACTGCTGTATCTCTTATCCAGCTTCACATTTATTACCATCAACAAAATCTATATCAAGAAAATTGGCTTGTAATTATGCAATTATTTAAAAAAAAACATATTTGCTTCTAATGTACTAATGTAATCTTTCGAATTTACTGATCGTATAATTGAAGTAATTTAATATATTAAACATAGAAGGGTGTTACTTTTTCATATTTTTTAATGAAAATTCTGGGAAAGGATGACAAAGTAAAGAGCTGATGATCATGGCAAAGACTAAAAAACCACTGAATAGACCAGTTCCTTGGAACTTCTCCAAATAAGAAGAGAATAGATGATTGACCACATGTGCTCCAGATGGCTGCTTCTCATGAAGAGACAGCAGAACAGCAGTTTTCTATGGGTTTGAGTTTCTGGAGACAACAGTATTAATCATCTTGCTCACAACCAGGGCAGACACTTTTAAAGAACACTAAGTCTGCAAACGTCACTTTCTAATCACTTTCAGAAATTGTTCATTTCATTTCTAATCTATTAGACACCTTAGGACTGACAACTGAAAATACCGGGTAAGTCTGCCTTCAAGCCTGAATGAAAGAAAGTTTTAATCATAAGCTTAAGAATTTAAAGTATCTGAAATAAGCAGCAAAAAGATATTCATCTCAGAAAATTATAAACAGACTAGTAAAATAAAATATTGAAATTTTTACAAGAATGTTTTGGAAGTAATTAAAAGAGCAAACAGCTTCTTGTGGAAAATAGATTCTGTTTTGCTTTTTACAAGATAAAACAAAGAAAGTAATTCCATGATTTTGAAAACTGGACATCAGACAGGACTAAAGTTTTTAGGCAGAAAAAAGATTTACAAACCAACAAAACATTCTAACAATGAAAATGCTGAAGGAGATTTTTTTTAAAAATGGAATCAGGAAATAGCTAAAATGTCAATAATTATGTCTACTTCTGTGGACATGTGGATTTACAACTGACATGGCAAGAAAATGATTTAAAAATGAAGTTCACAATATCTATAAAAGAAATTGGCTGACAGAGTGATATGGATAATTTTTTTCTACCAGATTTATAAAAGAAGATTGTTAAAGTCTTGAAGAATTCCATATGATGGAATAAAGAAAAAAATGAAATCAAATCCCATGACAATATTTGAATGAATTGAAGCTTAACTTTGTTAGAAATAAAAGGAAGGAATATAAATTGATTTGATCAAAAGTTAAAACAAGATATGTTGTTACCTCTGGCATCCCTTTACAAATTTTCTGCAGACACCAGGACTGAGTTTTAATGATTTATCTATAGATAATAGGATATGGAATGAAAATATTTGTAACCTTAGAAGGGATAGTCACTGAATTATACACACATATAATTTCGTTGAAGGGAAGCAACTATTTTCAATGTATTTGTAGATCTTAAATGAAAAAACGTGTGTGTGTGTGAGAAAATGTATTGCAGCATTAATATTATTTGGAAGAAAATGTTTATATACCATTGACTAACGTTTGAAAAGTAACTGAACAGATGCCATGAGGATTTTGAAATACATCTAAAACAAAAAGAATATTTCCTCCTCTCAGTCTTCCTGTCTCTCCCAATTACATTCCTTGCTCTTTTTCTGCTCTATAATGTGCTGGATAAGTACAAACTTCATAAATATACTGTGAGAATATAGAACAGTGGTGGCGAACCTATGGCACGGGTGCCAGAGGTGGCACTCGGAGCACTCTCTGTGGGCACACGTGCTGTTGCCCCAGCCTTGCCTCCCCCGACCCCCTCCTCTCCAGCAGCCCCCCTGCATGGCCCACACAGAGCAACGCAGCCAGGGACATGGCAGCCAGGCAGCGTAGATAAGACTCTGCCCTCACACATCATGCAGTTGATGCTGCAGGGTGCGGGCAGAGGGTGTGGCCCCCATAGTGCTGCTGGGCTGCCTGGGCGATCGGCGGGCCCTGGAGGTGGTGAGTGGTCCTGTGGGCAGGTGGGGCAGAGTGGGGGCAGGGCAGGGGATGGAGCGGGGGCAGGGCCAGTTTTTGGGCACTCGGTCTCTAAAAGGTTCGCCATCACTGGTATAGAAGGCCTCATCCCCTTGCACTTTACAGTAGCTGAGTACAGTCTATCTGATTTCCCTTGCCCAGTACAGTGTACTCATTCATTTCCTACCTTATTGTTATGACATGAAAGAGGTGACGTTTTCTCTATCTTCACTGTCTTGTATAATTGTCTTTTGGGCTTCAGAGATATAGAGGGAAGTTTCCATATCTCACAATGAAGTAGAAGGAGTAGAGTGTTTCACGTCAAAAGCAGAACTAAATACCTCTGTTCCAAAATTTAAGTATATTTTTCTGTAAATGCTGAAGGGCATATTACAATTAAGGCAAATTCATTTATACTCATATCTTCAAGAAAAAATTAAGTTCATGTTCAAATCTGAAGAACTGAAAATTTCAACATGTTCAAATCAGGACCACTCCACATTAAATAGGAAACTAGTTCAGCTTGCAATGCTGCACATGTTCCTAAGAATAAATACCATTGAATTCTAGATTTTAAGTTAAAGTATATGCAAAGAACTATCTTGAAAGAATATTGGGCAACAGTATAGATATGAAATGATTAATTTTTAGAAGGAAGTTATCAAAAGACTATGATCTAATTTTGATTTTCCAAAGAATGGAAAAGAGATTTTACATCATTGTATTAATTTTTTTTATATATTAGTTTGAAATTTTGAATGGTCTTGTAGAGACTGGAACATTGCCATTGGCAGCTGCCACTTTTTATACCAATGTATTCTTACATGAGGGAGTTTACACAAGCATATTTTGTGAAGATTGTTTATTTCTATCTTTCAAGGCAACCTCTGATCATTAATGTCTTCTATAAACTAAGAAATAAGAATACACTATGACTGTTAAGTTACATTATATTAGACTTTCTGTGTACTACATGAAAGCTACTTAGGAATAAATTCTCAATGCATCTTTGTGTTATTCTTTACGTAAGGAAAGCTTATACTATATTCTAAGATCTATAGAAATCACATCTAGATAGCAATTTCCTTATAAATTAATTTGTTTTAACTACTTTCCCAACATTTACAATTTGCTAGAGTATGGAAAGATTGCTGAAATCCAAACGACACTGGAAGAAGAACTCAGTATAGAGATAAATCACGGCAAAGTCAAGAATCACCACAGTACTTTTACAATCAGCTGTTCCAACACCATTACTGATGACTTGGACTTTCCTGTTATTGTGTGGAAGAAATGCAGTGTTTTTTGCTCTGCTCCTTAATGCTTTGAAATTCTGAACAAATACGTTAAGAAAGAAATATATTTATAACTGTTCAATTTAAGAACTCAACTCAAGAATAGCTATTGGCTTAACTATCGGCTTAAGTATAGCTATTGGATTAACTATCATAAATTAATCATAGAAGCAGAAATTAATCTGTGGTTTTAGATGGTTAAGAGGACCTCATTCATCTATGTATTATATAAATAATTACAAACTAGAATAACATTTCTTATCAAATTAAATTTTAATTTTAACCCTCATTTAAACCTCTTTAAATAAAGAATGATTTCTCCTTAATGTTGTTATATGTTATTATTTTAATAGTTAGAGCAAAATGAATTTTAAGAAGACAAATGTAATAACTAGGTTTGTTATTCAAACATCTTGATTAATCATGAGTTTCAATCAATGAAAAGTACCTATGCATTAATTACAAAAGGAGAAGTATATTTTAGATCATTATTTTAGAAGAGTTTTTTTTCCACAGGGAAAATATGTTATATTTATGCTAATGGATGTCAGCTAAATTCTTGTATCAATATAATATATAAACCACTAGCAGTATTTCAGTCAGGAATATTATTTTAAAATAATTATAAGCACTTTATCAATAATTCTATAAATAGCCGAATTCTGTACTATTCTGCTCAAGAGATAATCCCGCTAAAGTCCAGCTGAAACTCAAATTTCATTGCATTCTCTTCAAAGCTGGTACATCTTATCCTTGGATTGGAATGAGAATGTGACAGTCATAGGTGGACATTCAGCACAAGTGTACATATGTCCATTTAGAAAGAACCTGCAATGATTTCAATGGGTTTACTTCCACATGAGCACAGGTGTAAGCTTTAACATAGAAAAACTTTTTTGGATTAGAAACACTTCAACAGTCTAGCATCCTATTTCTTACAGCAAACAATCAGTAGCCAGCAAAAATGCTCATTAGTATGAAAGAAAGGGAAAGGTTCTCTCCTCCATGCTTCCCAAAACTGGTATTTGGAGACTGATAACTCTTATCTGTTATCTAGAGATAAAATACAGACATGATGACTAAAAGACACTGATTCTTTAGTTCTTTTCACTTCCATCACAAACTGTGGGATTCAATAGCTCACTGGATGACTTGGGACTTTTCACCCATTGTAAAGCTTTAAAAGTTCTAAGTTGGGGAAGGAGGCTAGCAAGTCTGGTTCCACAGTGATACTATGAAGTTAAATTCTCAGCTTTCATTTTAAATGTCTGAAGAATATTCATTTCAGTGTAGAGTTGCCCAGGTTATTATTAGTTGCTTTCATTCAAGAGCATTTACAATTCACGGAACTTCATTTTAAAAGAGCAATTATTTAATGACTACATTCAGATTAAAAAAAAGACACAGGACAATAATAAATAATAGTATTTCTTTTCATGGCAGACAAAAAAACACACCCCCAAAAAATACTATCTGATATACACAACATAAATAACATATCAAAATTTAATTTACATTATATATATATATATCATCAGTAACTATATTATTAATTAGTTCTTATAAAATGAAGGCAGATAGCGGTATTTGACATATTTCTCTCAGCCACAAAACTTTTATTTGAGCTGTTACTGTTTGCAGTCCAGAAAGTACATTCCTTCACCTTGCTTTTGTGCAGCTAATACGACATCACACGGGGATTTGTGTAATTAGTTACATTTAATGACCTGAAATGTAAATGCAACAACGTGTCACAAGAGTAAGTTGATATATACATTCTATTTTGCTCAGGTAAAAATTTCCTTCTCAAGGGTGCCTGAAATCCTCTATTCTGCATTTTATGAATTTTCAGTAAGATTCTAATTCAAGTTTTGATTTTTTTCCTTTAAATAAATATAATGCAGCATTTTTTTCTAACTCAGATCCTATGAAGTTCAGATTAAAAACAACTTGCTTCCAGCCATTGACTCCAAACATTTTTCTCTGTTTTTCAGCTAGTTGCTCAATATAGCAATATTTTATGAAATAGGTTTATGTTTATTTTTTCAGAACATAAATTTCCTCTTCCCCACTCTACCTCTCAAAGGTCATCCTATTCCATCATACTGGATTAGCATCACACTTCTTTGGTAGCTAAGAAAAGGTACAAAGCAGGAAAGATAAGCGTGTGTGTGTGTGTGTGCTTGTGTTTTATAAAACAACCAGTAAATTAATTGACAGGACTGAATATTCATTCATTTGCCTGAATAACAATATGTTAGGCACTCTTCACATTACATTATTACAGCCACTTCATTAAAGTTACCATTGGCTTATCAGGTTCTATTATAAGCTACCGTATTTTTAAGTGGAGTATGTTTAATTCCTATTTTTCCAGATGTTTGCATAGAGAAACCACAAGCAAGCACATCCCAAAGATTGGTGGGTACATATGTAAATAAGTGAGGAGGCCTCTTTATATGATGTTGAGTTATAGTGCATTTGGTCTAATAGGTCAGGCATGATATAGATTCTTAATGACTTTATTAGATTTAGCTAAATCAGGATCCCACATTTAAATAAACAGCCTTAATTATATTATTATTCATCAGTCTCAGGATTCAAGCTTCAACTATATAAAATAGAACAAGAACTCTTCAAAACATCTGGAGAAATTCAACACATTTCTCTCCTCACTGAGTAAATAACAAGAGAATCTTCACAGAATAGTGTATAGAAATGAAGGGAATAGCTACCAGGTTCAAGAATATCTACTGCAGAGATTTTCCTAGAAATAAAATACTGCAGTTTGGCAATACTTACTTTTCAATGTTTAAGGCCATAATACTTCTTACTGGTCTGCTCTTAGTTCCAGGATTAGGGTGAAATACATTTCCTTGTTTATTAGTTGTGGAAGCCCTAGGCATTCTAATGCCATATGGGTCTGTAGAATGAGTTGGAAACGGATCAAATGTGCCTGCTTTCATGCCTCCTGGCTAAAAGGACAAGAAGAAATGTCAAATACTGCAGACTTACAAAAGAATACTTCATCTACACAAAATACAAATATGAATTTAGCAGCACTATGAGCTAGTACAAAGTAATATGAAAGCCTACTTCAAGTATAGCACCTAATTTCTTTTCCCAGAGAATCACAAAATCATAAGCCTTCAAGAGTTGGTCTCAAGAATATAAACAGACTGTCCTGAATAATATTTGGTTGTGACGCCACTCCGAAAAGCAGGACTATAGACCAAGCTAGGGAAAAAAAATCCTGAAAGAGATGACTGTAAAATACTTTTGTATTATTGCCAAGATAATAGTATGAACATGCACAAATAGTCAAAAGAATCAAGCTTAACTTGAAGGAATCTTTATCGTTTTAATGTAGCATTTGAATTACAATATCAGCCAAATGCTAGATTACCTTAATTAACACAGTAATATCCTACTTTTCCTCCAAGATATATTTATGAAATTTTCACAACAACACTGTGAGGAAGTCTAGAGTACTGCTGAACAGTACTTCATTCAGCCTTTGTATATATGATGGCCAAACCAATTTGAACTTTGATATACTTGATGACTACATACTTTGCTTCAGCCACATCCAGATGTAAAATTAAGAAAGGAACACTGATTTAATACACAATTAGAGCAATAAATACATTGCAGATACATTGCAGTATAGCAGATGCCGTATATTTCAGTAAATTATAACATTAATTACAACCATAATGTTTGATTCATACAACACATTAAGCATGAGAGTGATTATTTGATTTTGGTTCATCACAGATGAACAACTACAGAAATTCTTTTTTTTTTTTTGCTGATTTTGTTTCTAATTATGTTTTTCTAGATCTGCAACTTATAAAGGAAGGGGTTCCAGGATGGGTCACTTCTTGGATCTCTATTTGGATTAAATCTGAAAAAGCTACGATGATTCCATAGATGTGCTTTTTTCCAAAATTAATTGGATATTTATTTTTTCCCAATAAATATGCCCTTTACATTGCAGTAAATATCACACATAATCATTTTTCTTTGCTAAAAGGAAATATCTGTAAAAGTAAAAAGGAAACATTTCTTGAGAAGTCTGACTATTAACAAGCACACCTTTTTAGCTGGAGAACTTGGCTTAAAAGGCTGTGGAATGGGTACTTTTTCAGGTTGTTTTTTTGGTGGAGGCAACGGCACTTCATCATGGTAAGGATTTGTATCGAAATATTCTCGGGGATAAAGATTTAACTTGAATGGTCCACCTTTCATCAGATGGCGATGTTCTTCAGATATTTTCTGGCCAAATCAGAAATGGAAAATGTCACACTGAGCTCTTCAACTCCTTAACCAAAGTTAGGGGTAAGATTAAGGCTGCAACTCTATGCTCACATATTTCTAGATAAGCTCTACATAGCTGTAATTATTCCTGAGCAAGCTTACTTGGGCTTGCATTTCTGAAGTTATAAATGCAATAAGTGGTAGGAAATAAGTATTAATGAGCATTAAAGATATAAAGCCAAATATATATAAGGCAGGACCTTGGATATTATAACATTAAAGCAAATAAATTTGCAAACTAATAAAAACATAGCATGGCTTTTCCTTCCTTCACCACTTAAAAGGGATTTCTAAAACAGGTTTCACATTAAAGATAAATCCATATATGGCTTTAACACCATTTTTGGGACAATCACTACTGTGAAATTGTTTTAACTGATGAAGTTAATCTTAACAGGGAAAGGTACAAAAACCCACTTTCCAACCATTTACTGTACTGGTGACATCAAAACTACCTAGGTTGAGAAAATAATAAATTAATGGAACATATATTGAAATAATATACAAAATGTATTCTTATTTCTTTATCAAATAAAGGTTAATGATGTATAATTTTAGGATGATACCAAATAAAGTCTGTTTAGAAGGAATAAGATATGTTATCAATCAAGATAAAATAAAACAGAAATCCAATTGAATTTTACCTTAAAATTTATTCTTCCTATGTCAAACAATTCAACTGAATGTGTGTATGGTTTACCTATGGTGAGATTTGGATACCTAGATACAGAAATAAAACAGTGATAGCAGCAACATTCAACTATCTCTTCCCTTAAAAAAAAAGATATATTTAATATTAAAATTCTAGAATGTTTTACCCATAGCCAGTTCCTTTCTTCCCTGGACTGGTGTATAGATTTTTCCCTGGTTGTACATATGCAATCTTATCTTTCAATTGAGCACTGAAGTAGGTACATGGACCACTAATTGTTCCGTAGTAGGTTCCTACGCCACACCTGAGACACAGAAGGAATACAGAGATTAGCATTCTCTATTAAATATGCAAAATATAATATAATAATATAATATAATAAGTTTGCTTCAGATAAACAAGTTACAAGCTTAGCGTACCTGTTCCACTAAGAGTGACTGCCCTATTTTTAAAAAATACATTAAAGGGGTAATGATATTTATATTTAATTGGAATTAAGGCCAAATGAAGTAAGTGGACTTACTTTTGAACATATATATATATATACATATTGGATTCTGCTTTAAAGTAAATAGATTAGGTTTTGTAGACAGTCCTCAGGCCACACTCAGTCCCTAGGTTCATTCTTGCAGCTTCTGGAACACCAAAAACTCTGCAGCATTTTTTTTTTCAAAAAAAGGGGGAAAATAGGTGCACTAAATCTTCATTAGTTTTAATACTCTTTTTTGGCTAAAATCACCCCCCAGACTTCCAAAATAATAAAAAAACTGATGGAGAAAAGAGCCCTGCTCTCTTTGATGATGTCACCATGCTACTGTCAGACTTTATATCATATTTGATTACCTTTATTTAGAAAAACCAACAGATAATTCCCTAACCAGAGAAAAATTGCTTATCTCTGCTGAGGTGAATATTTTAATGTAATTCTGCATTTCTGTACCTGAATTCATTCATAATACTAAGTCAGAGGCAAGCAAGCTACATCTAGTTCTCCCTGATTCCTTTTTGAGGCCTTTTAGGTTCTCTTAGATTGCAGACCCAAAATATGGTAGACACATCACAATCACTTTATTTGCAAAATATACAAAGTACTTGCAGAAATAAGCTATCAATTACTCTATAGTTTTGACAATACACATCCCTGCAATCCTTGGGAGCCATTATTTAAAAAGCATGGCCATTCATACAAATCATAGTGACTGGGTTTGTATATCATACTAATGCAAAATGAAACACTGAAAGACGCAAATAGTATGAATCCAATTTATTGTTGGCTGCTTAGCGTGTGGTGCTTTGCAGTTTGATTTTCTTTCCTTGCTCATGCTATTTCTGAGCAAGTGCTCTGTCTAATATATTGTAGATAATTCTTTCTCTCCTGATGATGCTTTGTTATACAAAAATAGTCTGGTAGATTTTCCTAGGACAGAGTTCTTCCCAGCATTCCCCAGTCACCGTGGCCCATTGTGGAATATGGGAGCTTAACCAAGTATAGCACACAGTTAAAAAGAGAAACATCTTCATAAGTTTTCTCTACATCTTTCAATATGTGCCCACCATTCATATTCAGAATGTTTCCTAAAAATGATGTCTGGGGTGTTTGTGAAAATTGGCAGAAATTAAAATAAGCCATCCCAGAGGAAGAAAGGCATTTGTGGCACTAGAGAGAATCTAGGGGAAAAGAAGATGAGAATAATTAGAATCACAGGAGCAAACTTTGTATGGAAAATCCAGTGTTAAATATGTGTTTACCAGGAAATGAAATCTCCTGCCAGCTTTTGTGGCAATTTAGATATCAAAGGAAACTTTAAAATACATTTTTAACTGAAAATATCAATATAAGTAGATAAATGCCATATAACTTATATAAAAGACCCAGTAGTGGCTTTCCTAGAACTTACGGAAATTTATCTCCATTATTGGGAAGAAAGGGTCTGGCTCCCAGATTTTTTTTTGCCTCAGCCAATCGGTATCTTCTCCTTAACTGAACAGGATTTGAGTAACTTTCACCTTCAAAAATTCTTGAAAACTGAGGATCAAAATATCCTGCTTGGGTGGCTCCTTTCTCTTTAATACCTCCAGGTAGCATTTGTTTATTCTTGCCTGCAGCTTCATTAAAAGGGCCTTTAAAATAAGGGAACAATTTCAGCATCGATTCAGTCATTTGTATTAATTCTGCCATGGGGAAAACAGCTCAGAAACTGCATGGAAATGTCAATAATGACATCAGAAGTTGACTCTGACTCAAGGAAGATTGTACTTTGCTTTACATTTTGCACATAAGCTGCCTTGAATCTGAATATGAAAACATGAATTGTTTTCAATATTTGTTCTAAGAAGCAGTTTATTTGTTCCCAAAAGTAGATGTTACAGATTGGAAAATCTAGTACTATCATAGAAGGAAGGAGAGAATGCTCCTTTTCCAGAAATTTGAGAATCTCACTGCCTAAAGCATGGCTAATCAACTTACATAGAACATTCAAAAGAAATAACCAAGCAAAAAAACCAAAACATAGTGTGTTCCCTTAAATAACATCTTAAATAACACATATCAGGAAATGTGTTATTCTATCTGAAACTCCCAGTCAAAACCTCTTAAACTCTAACCTCTACTCCTAAAGAAAGAAAAGGCAAGAAAAGATACCCATCCCTATAATAAACTACCAAAAACCCATTCCCCCTAAACTGTAGAAGGAATCTAAACAAATGGGAGCAATGTGTAAAATTAAAGCAATTAAAGGTAAATGATAGCAAAGAATAAGAGCCATTTAGAACAAAATGGGCTAATATGCCAGTTTTCTAGGGAGATACAGCAAAAGCAGAAAATTATAGTGGTACTTTGAATGAATCAAAGGAAACAAGTCATCTACGTATCAACTAGGACATCTGTAATCATATTAGACATAAAGATTGTGCCAGTGTAGCTGTCTTGTATATTGTGAACATAAATCAATCTACCACAGCCATCCTATTTTAACTCGGTGTTCATCCAACATGCTAAATTTATTAAATGCGGCAAGGAAGACCTTTCTTGAAATAGAGAGAACTCAATCCTATATTGCTGAACTGAATAGAAAAATGTACTTACGGCTAAATGGCGAGACATATTTATCTCCAATAGTAATATATTCCATTTCGCTAAAGAGGCCAATTCTGTCCATGTCTGTTTTTCCTGTTTCAGAAGGCATGTTTACTTCTGTATGATAACTTTTAGTCTAGAAAATATTTAAAGTCTTATGCTCCCTAGAAGAAAAGAAATACACATTAAAATGCTTCAGTCTTTGAAGTATTGACTTCAATGATTGTGAGTCCAGTGTTCCTAAAGAACTGATTTAAATACTGGACTCACAATCATCGAAGTCAATACTCAATAAACAATATGGGGGGAAAGCATTAAATATGAAATCCTGGGTATTTTATTTTTCTACCTTATCCTCGTATTCAAATTACAAATACAAAATAAAATAGCAGAAGGGACAACATAGACGTTTTCCTGTTCGAGATATATTGAGATGACGAAGAGTCGTAAAAACAATACTGGTTCACACCCTTCATAGGGACAGATCAACTTCCCATATAAATAAAATGTTGAGTAGTACACGAAAAGACTTTTTCACGAAAAGGTTTGTTCAAGTCTCGTGTTTCGTTTTAAGACCTATAAAAAAATGTTAATGTGATTAATAGAGCTTTCTGATGATAAATTCATTGGAATATATTTATCCAACAATCTCATCAAAATGATATGTGTGTAATCCCAGAAGAATCTTTAAAATTTGGAATTTTAAATCTAACCTAACCAAATAAAGAGCTTTTATCGAATCCTACCTGTTACCATAATCTACAGCTGTGACTGGTCTTGAAAACCTAAGCATTTCCTATGGCCTAAATCACATCCCTTTAACCAGTGTGACTAAAGACCAAACCCGTGCCTTCCAGTCATGTATCAAGCAAAACTCAAAAAAAAACAAAACCAACAACCATATACTAAATTATTGTTTGCAACTAGCAAGGGTAGCTGGAATCCACTTGGATCCCACACTGTTCAAGTTGTACCGGGCTGTGCCTCATCTTTTCTTTTTGCAAAAGAGCTTATTGTACCTTCCTCCAAATCACTGCAATTTTACGAAATTAATACACTAATCCAACTTTGGAATCCCTCCGTCAGTCGTATCAGATATACACGCTGAGCACAGAGACGACGCCTGGAAGGGAGGGCTTGCACGGGATACGGGGAGTCAATTGGGCGTTTCGGAATGCCCGCTCTTTCATTTAACTTTTTGGCTCCCAGTCACCCATGGGCCGACTCAGACTGGCTTAACTCTAACTCACCCTCTCTTTTTTCCCCTCCTCTCTTCCACGCAAGACAGCGATCCAATCGAGTTGTGGTTTCCGGTGGAGGAAGCGGAGAGAGAGGGGTCGTGAGGTACTAGCGTCGCGAATCAAAGAGGGCGGGAACTTTTGAGAAACAACTATGTTTCAACGGTACCAAAGGTCCGCGGAGTGAGGCGGGGGAGGCTACTACAGTACAGTGTCTTAGCGTCGCCGCGGACTTCTCACCTCGTTCAGCGGAAATGAAGTTCTTCAGTTTCAACGATAGAATGGGAAAAGCGGCGCGATCCTGTTGTCGCGTCGCTCGGTTTGTTGTGCAAAGAGAGGGAGAGTAGAGCGGAAGAGTGACGTGTCGGCTTGTGGGACGGGGGGAGGGCCTCGATCGGAGAGGAGGAGCATGCCGCTGCCGGGATTGCTTCTTCCTGACGTTTTACTGACGGACGTGGTAAGTCAGGCCGATGATACCCGCGGTCGCTCTGCTATTAAAGCAACGGCATCCCTCGACTTGTCTGCCTCGAAAGCAGCAGGGCCTCGAGGGAGGCTCCGAGCCCCAGCGCTTCCTTCAGTCAGGAAGCAGCTGTTGTCCCGTCGGCTCCGGCTGGGGGGGAGCTTCAGGGGGCGCCTGCAGCCCCTCTTGGCCCCATTTGCAATTAGGCACAGAAGAGCTTCTCATGCACGCCTTCGGGTTAGGCAGTTTGACGGACGAGTTTGCATTTCTGCAATTTCCTAGATTCATGTACTGTAGTTGCCCGCTGCTTTAGCATTTGAAGAAGCTTGACAGCAAAATAAAGCTAAAATAAGATGATAAAATAATAAAATTAAAAAACGAAAGGGAATAACGGAATCGGAGGGATAACCTTAATCACGGAAAGACCGAGACCAACGAAGATGTACAGATAGTCTACGTTTAGGGACTGCAGTTAGGATCGGCAACTCAATGTTTAAGCCAATTGGTCGCTAAGTGGGAAATCATGCGACTGCTTATGATTTCACATAGGATAATGCATACTAATTGACTAATGGCAAACACATGACTAACAGAGACTTTGTATAGGTCGTAAACATGGGCACTGGGCACAAAGTTATTTTTCCATTACAGTTGTTACTGCAGTTGTTGCTGTCTGAAGCAGTCACTCAACGAGGACTATCTGTATCTCATTTAAGTGTTTTACAATCCATGTGGAATCATCCAATGCCCTGTCCAGTGTTAGAAGTAAAGTCTTCATCCTGGTTCATCCAAGCCGGGGATAAATAAGCAACATGGCGACTGCTTTGGGAAGAAGGTTACAGTTTATCGAAGAGGCAGAAGGATGGCTCTTGCAGGAAAGAGCAGAGGGAAGAAGGGACTGAGCACATGGGTAGAAGGTTTTTATACCCCCTCTAGCCTCTTGTTTGGAATAGTTTCCTGTTCCTGTGGCATAAACTTTGAGGCTATTTCTGAGTGTTTTCCTAGGCCTTGATATCTGTGGTTTAATCCTATTATCATATCCTGCTTCCCTGATGATGGGGGCTAATGACTCCTAGAGTTTGGGTGGGGTATGCAGATTTTCTCTTTGTCTTCTTGAGTTCTCTGGCTCCAACTTTCTGATGGTTTTACATCTGCATTTGTATAGGGCTGGCTCTTGCTTGGGGCAGAGATTTGAGGCCAGAGAGATTTGGTTTCTGCTTTTTTAAAAAAAAATCCCTTTGAGGAAAAATATATTTTTCTGCCCCTTTTAATATTTTCTTCTCTGGGGGGGGGGCTCTGACTTCCCACAATATCAGGACTCAGGGAAAGTTCTCAGTGTTTAGGTCTTATGGGAGAACAGTAAAATTTTTGGTAAAGAATATATTTTTGGTAATTGTTTATACCTGACCTATTTGTAAGAAATTTGTCATGGGTTTTTGCGTTTTTTGTTCTTTTTTAAATTTAATCTTTTAGTTCAATAAAGTACCCCCACCCCGAAAAAGCCCAGATTAGCTTCAATCTTTCTTTGTTGGGCCCAGCTTGTGATAGAAGTTATTTTTTCAGAACTTCATGGTGGCCATTCTTCCTCCTGTAAATGTAGTTAACATAGAACAACTATTTGGAATAGCATTGGGAATGCTGCTTCTTGGTTTTTGTTTGTTATAAGTTTAATTAAAAGTAAATTCTACTGGTATAAAAAATACATTTCCCTATAAATTACATGAAGTTCCTGAGCTCCACTCCTGGTGACTTCCCAGACAACTCTGATTTTCTTGGTAAGAGTATGAAAGTAATTCACTATTGACTTTTTCCCAGAATATCTTTTTGAAATACCTGGTCTGGGATTTTCCGGTAGTCTATTCAAGTACTAATGAGATTCAATTCTATTTAGCTTTTCAAGATTGAATCAGCTAGATGCTACTATATAACTGGACTCCAAATAAATTAAAAGTTGCTAATATTTTTGTAAATGTCTGATCTTTGATCAAGGCCAAGCTTCCCCTTAACAATTATAACATATCTATGAAGTGAATAAAAGTGTATTCATCCTGGTTACAACATGATTGAGGAATGGTCTGAAGCAAGGAACACTATAGTGGAAACTCTATATTGGGTTTAACATTTTAAAAAACCAAAGAAACCTCACAAAACCACCAGGGGGGAAAACAAAAATGGGAAGCCACATTCACATAGGTACTAAGATCCCCCACACTTTGTATTATAGCCAGGCCTACCAAAACCTTGATCAATCAGAATGGTTTGGATGGTCCCCAACCTTGGGTCAATATGTTGTGTGAATTCAGTCCCTATATTTTGATAGCTCAGGATGATGTGTAAGCATAACATTATGTCTAATTCAACCATTTATGGATAAACAACTCATCATAATTGAAAATCATTCAGCTGCTACATTTTCAGATGGTAGGTTTGAATATTTGAGCCACAAAAGCCATGACAATTTATGAAAATTTTCAATCCAGAAACACTTGGATTGTTGTTTTTTTCTCCTTCTCCCTTCAATAGGTCATCATAGACACTATGGATATACTTTTTAGAATAAGAGGAGGCTTGGATTTTGCATTTCAATTAGCCACTACTGATGGTGAGTCTGTAGAAATACAAAATGCTGTATTACATTATACTGTACAAAAGTTTTAAAAAATGACTACTGTATGAACAAAATCTGTTTTAACAAGGTTAGTATGAGAAGCCCTTCCCTTTTCTTTCTTTTCTTTTTTTTCTTTTCTTTTTGGAATAATACAACTGTGCAGATTCATTCAGAAGCAAGTCCTACTCTTCTTAATAGACCTTTCTCCTTTCCAAGTGATTGAAGACCAAAACCCAAATGGCTAGGCAGTTTACAGGTCTTCTGCTCTTATTTAGGAAATTCTTTCATGTTGAAATGCTTAATTGAGAACACTTCTTTCAGTCTTCAGTTAATGGATAAACTCACAATTGTTCTTTTTCTTCTTTCTAAAATAAGTCTCATTATATAAAATCTACAGCTAATTCCCTATGCATTTTACCTTTTTTTCTTTTCTCCATTTGTTTTAGACTCATCCACAAAAGAGGCACTCAAATACATTTTCAAGGATCTTTCAGCTAAACTGGCTTCTGATATGCTGGTATTCAGGATTTGTCATAGCTCAGTATATTTGTGGCCAAACAGTGGGATGAACTCCATGGCAACTGAGCTTTCAGATGACTCTGCCTGCAAGGAGATACTACAGTTTATTCAGTGAGTATGGCTAGACAAAAATAATGATTTTGTGGTTGGAGATGGTATAATAATTTGTCGTGATGCAATCATTCTGGCAATGTTTTCCAGATTTGAACAAGGGGGCACCAAGCAGAGATTTTCAAAAAAGAAAGATAAAAAGTTACAAGAGATGGTACGTATAGCCTTTTTGTTGCAATATGTACTTTTCTGTGCAATGTGAAGAAAGAATTATTTATAGTTTTATTTATAGGCAAGTATTTGTGAAAAAGATAATATGTTTAGTCCTTTTCTCTTAGAATCAATATTGAGTTATTTAATTTATATTGGAAATTGATTCTAGGGAAGGTGATGGGATTCCTTGTCTGCTACTTTTCTGATCTAACTTTTTTTCCACAATGTGACTTTATCTGATGGGGAAACAGAATCTTTGGAGTAATTTAGATTACAACTTGTATATTAAAGTCTTCTTTATTTTCAGCCATCAATAGTAAATATTGATCTCATGTTGGAAATTACAACCTCATTTGAGCCTTTGGCTCCAGTAATTGAAAAGGAAAGCAAAGAGCATCACTACATTAGCATGACATTGCCGGTTGATGTTGTGGTCTCTGTTTCTCCTGAAGAAACATGGCGCAAGTAAGTAGATTAAATAACTGAGTATGTATTTTTTAGATTTCTTTAACTTGTTTCTGTTGCAGTTTTATGTGTATCCAGATCTCCAAATGGGTAGAATTTTCAGGCATGTAACATTAACCTAGGTTTGTTCTCCTTTACAGTTTTCATCAATTTAGGACAGTGGTGGCGAACCTATGGCACGGGTGCCAGAGGCGGCACTCAGAGCCCTCTCTGTGGGCACGCGCGCCATCGCCCCAGTCCTAGGCCTTCAGCTGGGTTTTATAAAACCTTTTCGCTTTAGGCCTCCAGTGCCGTGTGCAAAAAAAAAAAGGTTCAATCAATCAGTCAATTTCAACTTCTCGCGGGAAAAAAAACCTTGCAAAGTTGGAATTGATTGATTGAACTTTTTAGTCCCACCCAGTCTGCCGTTACCACCACAGCCACACCCAGCCAATGGGCCACACCCAGCCAATAGGCCACACCCAGCCAATGGGCCACACCCAGCCAATGGGCCACACCCACCCGGCACCCGACGATGCATAAGTGGGTTTTGGGTTGCAGTTTGGGCACTCGGTTTCTAAAAGGTTCGCCATCACTGATTTAGGATATTTGGTACCATTTTCATTCATTTATTTGTTAAAAATGCTGATTCCCTTCTCATTAAACAATTCAAAAACAGATTGTGATTAATTAAAAATCAACAATTAATTATTGGGTACAGTTAAGTCAGAAATACATAGCATCACTATTTAACTAAAAAAACTGGTTGATGCCTCAAACTAAAAAGGTTTCTGCCAGCTGCAGTTGAATAGTAAGGGAATTCACAGTTGGAGCACTTGGAGTGAAAATTCCGACACTTTGGTCTCCTTAGAGCAAGCTCCACACAGACGTGGCACCTACCTATCAAACATTCAAGTCCAAAGCTACCTCAAACTTTGTATGTCACTACACGTTCTTGGCAATGCTTTCAAAATGGGATAAATAGTTAACAATAACTTGTCCTTTACAACAGCCTACCCCCCAGGGTCATGTTCTAGCTGGAGTAATGTTACTAATGAATTGCTGTAATTCGGTCTTAATATTACCATTCATTTACAACTACATTTTGAAGACTAGTTAGAAGTACAGTGTAAAATACTTGCCTGAAATCCCCAAATCTGTCGTTTCCAAATTTGATTTCATCTACCAAATCCTGAAATGCTTCCTGAAAAAAAAGCTGCACCTTTTTCTAAAATGGATTAGGAACTGTATCCAGTATAAGGGTCAGAGCCTTTAAAAACTTGTAGTTTTTAGCAGAGCCACATCTTACAAATGAATGAAAAGGCAGATATAAATCTCCGAAATATATTTGGAGACCAAGAGTGTAAATCAGACAATACACTGATAAACACCTTTACCAGTATATGTTATATAATATCCAGTGCTTTTTTTGTTTAAAAAAAAAAAAAAGGGTGTCGGAACTCACACAAAGCTCTGGCTCCGGTCGAAAGCCCTTTATGGAGCCGGGGGGGGGGAGAGAAGAAACCGCTTTAGGGAATTTCCGAGGCGCAGATCATGTGAGCAGCGTCAGCTGACGGACACCATTGCTGCGGCTTTTGAGAGGGCGTTTGTTCGGGGCCGGCATGTCTTCTGCCACCTCACCCTCCTCCACCTCTGATGACACAGAGGCTTCCTCCGGAACCAGAGCAACCAAGTCGGTGGCGGCGCTGCTGCTTTGGGAGCGCACCTGGTCCCTGGAAGAGATTCACTCCAGGAGTCAGTCCTGGTCCCTGGTGGCCAACAAGGGAGTGAGGACAGGTGGAGGCGGTGGGGGGAGCCTCATGAACCAAGGCAGAGAAGAGGGTTTGCTTTCAGGGCCGTGGAAGTGTTTCCAGGTCGACCTTCGATGCCCCCGATTTCCCCGGGCAGCTTCCTTTCACCGAGCCAGAGCTTTACAGATAGTCCTTGAGTTACGAGTGTAATGGAGCCTGCCCATTCCATTCGTAACTCAAAAACTCGAGTGAATCTAGTTCCTTTAGCAAGATCACTCTCTTCCTCGTTAAAATGCATGCGGCTCGTTAAGTAAACATGAGGTGTCTCAGGGTGGGGAAGGCCATGGAGGGCCTATTGATGGAACAGGTCCCCAAGGCCTCCCCGACCCACGAAGATACCTCTCTCTTCCTGCCGCCCAGGACTCACCTGAAAAGGTCTGTCTCCTCTGCCGCGGTTCCTGCTGCTGCTCCAATCTGAGGCCAGGGGACGCATCCACAGCCCCCCGCAGCCCGATCCGAGCTTCGGAGGCCTGGAAAAGACTTCTGGAGCCCAGATCTATGGCCACGGAACGATTTTGTGGGGGCCCCCTGCGGCCCAATCCAAGCTCCGGAGGCCTTTTCCAAGCCTCCAGAGCCCGGATTGGGCCATGGGGGGGGGCGCAAAATCATTCCACGGCCATAAATCTGGGCTCCTGGAGGTCTTTTCCAGGCCTCCAGAGCCCGGATTGGGCCGCTGGGGGGGGTGCAAAATTGTTCCACGGCCATTGATCTGGGCTCTGGAGATCTTTTTCAGGCCTCCGGAGCCTGGATTGGGCCGCGGGGGGGCCACAAAATTACTCCGCGGCCATGGATGCGGGCTCCAGATGTCTTTTCCAGGCCTCCGGAGCCTGGATTGGGCTGCTGGGGGCCCCAAAAATTGTTCTGCAGCCATGGATCCGAGCGGCAGAGGTCTTTTCCAGGCCTCCGGAGCCTGGATTTGGCGGCGGGAGGTTGCGGGCGCATCCCCTGGCCTCAGATCGAAGCGGCAGAGAGGAGACAGATCTTTTTCAGGTGAGTTCCGCGTGGCAGGAAGGGAGGGGGAAGCATGAGAGCATTAAGTGAACGCTCGTAACTCGCGCTGGCAGCTTAGAAGGAACCGGTTCTTCCGTTCAAAAAAAGGTGCCGGAACGCCGTTCCGTGCATTCTATGACAAAAAAAGCACTGATAATGTCTATAGATGTTGCTCAGTGTAGAAAATCTAATGAAGAGAATGTGGGGGAAAACTTAAGTCTATCTTGCTGTTTTACAGTGTAAGAAACCTCCTAGTGAATGCAATTCACACGCAGCTAGCAGATATGGAAAGATGCATTTTGCAACATATGAGAGGCACATCAGTTGTGGTGCCCGAACAATTTCATTTCATGTTACCAGGAAAAAAGCATCTAGTAACAGTTTCGTTTCCTGCAGGCATTTCTGATGATCAGCTGGAGACTTACCGAAAGGTATCTGATGCTAAGCAAAATACTTAGAATTATTAAACCATATAAGGTTATTAATATATAATTCCCTTCTGCTCCTCTCCTGGGCATGAATTTCAAGATTTTATTCTAATGCATGGGTTCTGGGTATGATATTTTACTTTTTTGTAGGTAAAAGAAACTGGAAAATAAAAGAATAGGGCAGGAAGCTGCATGAATTCCAGGGAAGGAAATTTATAACAGACAACAAAAAGCACTTATTCACACAGTGCCCAATTATTCTGTAGAATTCTCTATTATAGATTTGGTAACAGCCACTAAATTGATTGGCTTTAAAAGCAGCTTAGATACATTCATGAAGGGCAGACTGACTCAGAGTTACCTCCAGCTGGTGACTGCAGGTCTCCAAATGTAGTGGGAATAACATTAGGAGAAATCTAAGTGCACTTCCTGTTTGTGAACACCCCAGAAGCATTTGGTGGCAAGTGTGAAAAACAAAATGTTGATTAAATATGGCCCTTGCTCTGATTCAGCAGGACTATAATATTTATGTTCTTAAGTGGTAAAAATTGTACCCCTAGATTATTTATTATCTGTCTGTCTATCACATTTGGAACTAGCCCTCTTCCTCACAAATTAAGGACATTCCTTTTCTTTCCCTAAAACTTCATGTGTTTCTCATTCTGAAATGGATTTTTAGTTGGTTTCAATTCTCTCGTTTGTTTGGTATGCTATATTTTCTAAATTGTTTTGATTACACGAATACTGTACAGATAAAAAACTTTTTGGCCTCCTACTGAATCAAATGTATCAAAGTTATCGCTCCATAGTTAAGAACTCATTATGGAAAAGGTGGTTAATATTATAACATGCTGTTTTTTTAGTTCTCTAAACTATAATAAAACCAATCTTAATTTTGAAAGTAAAACAGAAAAAAAGTCTGGATCTTTTATTGATTTACTTGCTCATCCTCATTCATTTTTTCCTTGCATTTAGGAATTACATGGGCAATTTAATCTACCGCTTGATAGGCCTTATTTCCGAAGAAGTAATGCCTATCACTTTCCTGATCAATCTTTTAAAGATGGGTATCTCAGAAACCCACATCTACATCTCAATCAACCTGGAATAGAGTCTGGTATGGTGAGTTCTTTTCTCCATTTGCTTGTTCTAATATCAAGTATAATGGCTGTACTTCCTACTTGCCCCAGCATTGAGGGCAGCCCAGCAACTTTTGGAGAAGGGCAGAAATGGAAGATGCCATTGGCTGCTGGGATGGGGACCTCCACTCATCAAAAGTAGCATTTTCCCAATTCAGGACAGCCCAATCTAACCGCTGCCTTTCATTACTTCCTAAAAAATGTTTCTGTTCCATTTGGTGGCTGCTGCTCTGGTGGGTATACGCACCACCCTATTCCCACCTTTGACAGCCTTTGTGTTGGGCTGCCTACAGCGAAAAGCTGTACATTTGGAGGGGTGGGGATGTTTCTTGGTATTGGGATTTGTGAAATACAGTTTCTTGATTTTTTTTAAAACTGAAATTGACAAGAATTCTGCCAAGTTTTCTTTTTAGCCATGAAATACTGTTTCCCCCCACCTAAAAGAACCTTTTAGAAGGGGTNGAAGGAAGGAAGGAAGGAAGGAAGGAAGGAAGGAAGGAAGGAAGGAAGGAAGGAAGGAAGGAAGGAAGGACATTTGGCATCTACTTTCCCTGACATAGGTGGGAGAGGAAAAGAAGTAAAAAGATCCATGCAGTGGTAGCCAGGGTGACCACAGTACATAGGGAAAACCTGGCCAGAATGAAGAAATGGGGAGGGTGGTGAAGGTGGAAAAGGACTTCTTTAAGCTGGCTTCATTTCCAGCTGCTTTATGCATGAAACTCAAGCAACTGAAGGTTACAGTGCAGAAAAGCCATAAGTAGAAACTGAGAACAGAAGCTGCAGATACAAATGCCAGATTTTTCTCCCTCAGCCTCTCTGTCAACAATAACAAAAAAGACACCCAATCATAATTACCATTATACTCTTTTGATTCATATTTGTTCAAGAGAGGTTGATGAGATCTTGTTGGGAAATCTTACAAAGTTCATTGAGAACAATGGCTTTTTGTAAACCTTGCTTTTTAAGAACTTTAATTTAACAACAGAATTGCTGTGATATCTTCTGATAGCAACTACTCCATCTGGAAGCATCAGAAGGAGAGACAGACTCATTCCATGGCTTAATCATCATTAATCCCCATTTGCAGACTCACTCCTTACGTAACTTTATGATTCATTAGCTTGAATAGTCTTTCAAATATGTAGTCAATAACTACAAATTATCTTCATTTTCATTATGTATATATATCTAAAAGGCAACATGTTAACTTAAGCAAATGTTATTCTGACATGTACAAATTATGTTCTCTTTTTGGACACAGGTATATTTACTGTACGGCACGTATAGTTATCATCATTACATGCAAGATTGTATTGATGATAATGGATGGGGCTGTGCTTATCGATCTCTACAGACTATCTGTTCCTGGTTCAAGCATCAAGGGTACACAGACAGAGGAATACCTACACACAAGGAGATACAACAGGTATAGGTGTTCTTTTAAATCTGGATTCACTGGAGAAAACAGCTGCTCCTGAAGGAATATTTTATTTAAGCACTTCTGCTCACACTAGTTCTAAATTAGTGGTGCCTGACCTTTTCCAGACAGAGGGCCATCTTTGGTGATAGGCAGCATCTTTAGCTTTAGGAGTAAGCCAGATGCCATATAGTATACCCTTGGGTCAGGACAAACATCAAATTTGATTTCATTTATATTTACATGTAAATATTGTTATGGTGAGTATTCTCTAATGCCGTGGTGGTGAACCTATGGCACGTGTGCCACAGGTGGCACAGAGAGCCCTCTCTGTGGGCATGCGCGCCATCGCCCCAGTCCTCGGCCTTCAGCTGGGTTTTATAAAACCTTTTCGCTTTAGGCCTCCGCCACCATGTGCAAAAAAAAAAAAGGTTCAATCAATCAGTCAATTTCAACTTCTCGCTGGGAAAAAAAAGATTTCGCAAAGTTGGAATTGATTGATTGAACTTTTTAGTCTGCCGTTACCACCCTTCGGTACGGGTGGGTCACCCGGTGCGGGTGGATCACCCGATGCGGATGGGCCGTGGGCTACTATGTATTCACCCAAAACCCAACGTCAAACCCGTGAGCCAGAGATTTTCCAAGCGGTAGTGACGAGATCAGGGTATTGATTAGTGAAAACAAAAATACAAACGTAACGTTATAACATGGGTTTATACCCAACCCATCAGGGTGTCTATTGCTGGGGGGGGGGGGGAAACAAAAATCACAATGTTGCAATGCAAACTGCACTACTTACATACAGTGCAGTTTGCATTGCAACATTGTGGTTTTTTTTTCTTTTCTCCCAGCACAGACACTCCTGAATCCAACATTTTGTTGTCCACATGTAGCTCTCAGTCTTCTGACAGTGTTCTGTCTTATAGGCAACTATTTGTTCTGGATTCTAGATTCTAAATGTGCTCCATCACTGCAGTAATTCATAAGATTTCTGAATCTTTACTTAAGCCTGGTTCTCAGCAAGCTGTAAATCTTTTCCTCATTTGTGTCAGTTTAGATTTCAGTTTATGATTCACTGGATGGAATATCTGGTGGCTGGTTTTCATTTTAATAGAGATCCCGCAGTAGCTATAAGTAAACACTAGGAGGAGCAATTCAAGTGTGAGACATTTGTGTGATTTTGCAAATGATCTGCTAATATTGATGTAGCCAAAGAAACATATTATGCAATCATTTTGTATGAAGCACTGAGCTAATTTAATTTTTAAAATAAAATCCCTTTCTTAGCCCTTGGCCTCTACTAAATTGGATTTGATAGATTCGTGTGTAACTGACTGTTACTCTTTTCCATCTTTCTCTTGTGACCTGACTGAAGGCCCTTGTCAATGTTGGAGACAAGCCACCCAACTTTGTTGGATCGTGCCAATGGATTGGTTCTATTGAAGTGCAACTTGTGCTGAGTCAGCTATTAGGGATAACTTCAAAAATACTCTTTGTCAGGTAAGATTACAGAGTAATCACCAACAATTTTATGTTAGCTTATTTTTATATCCAGTACACCTTCCAGCTCTTTGGAGGAAAGAGAGCACAGGTAGTCCCTGACCTATAAATGAGCTCAAAATTTCCATTGCTAAGCAAGGCAGATGTTAACTGAGTTTTGCCCCATTTTACGACCTATTTATACTACAGTTGTTAAACTGCTTAGGGCAGTTAATTTTAAAATAGCATTAGCAAATATTTTGCTAATAGTAACTTGCTCAATAGTAACTTGTACTCAACCTAATTTTTTTTACTGTTGATGTAATAATTAGCATAGTAAAGTTTATACATAATGTTTCCTTTTTTTCCTAGCTACTGTACAAGTAGCCTACAATTTAATTTAAATCTTAGTGAATAAGACATTATAGGAGGAAAACAATCCCAAAGCAACTTCAAAGTGAAAAATCAAGTTCTATACAAGTAGTCCTTAACTTACGACCACAATTGAGTCCAAAATTTATTTATTTATTAGTTAAGTGAGTTTTGTCCAATTTTATGACCTTTCTTGCCACAGTAGTTCAGTGAATCATTGCAGTTTTTAAGTTAGTAACACAGTTGTTAAATGAATCTGTTTTTCCCATTGACTTTGCTTGTCAGAAGGATGCACGACCCTGGGACACTGCAGCCGTCATAAATATGAGTCAGTTGCCAAGCTCTGGATTTTGATTACATGACCGTGAAAATGCTGCAATAGTCATAAGTGTGAAAAAGTCATAAGTCACTTTTTTCAGTGTTGTTGTAACTTTAAACGGTCACTAAATGAACGGTTATAAGTCAAGGACTACTTGTTATCTATATTCAGAATTAATGCTCTGACAAGTACCACTTAATCTGCTTCATTATAGGCAAATGAATATGGTGTAGACTCTGTTCATACCTAACTCTTCTCCATTTGGACTGTTCACAACTTTATATTAGTGGGTCCATATCAACATTGCCCAGATAAGAGTCAGTGTGATGTATTGTATGGTATTGAATTGGCACCAGGAAGACTTAGTTCAGTTCCCTTCTCAGCTAGAGAATTTCACTGGGTGACTTTAGGTCAGTCATTCCCACTTAGCCCAACCTACTTTGCTTTTGTAGAAAAAAATGACAGGAAGGTGTGCTTATGTATACCACCTAGGCTCCTGAACAAAAGGTAGGATGAAGGAAGGAAGGAAGGAATGCTGGATGGAAGATCTATATAGAAAATAAATAGATTAAGACCTAATTAATTAATTGTGCATCATATTATGGGGGTAATAGGTAAAACATCATAGATTCTCAACTTTTTTGTGACAATTACCATGGTAAAGGTTACATGGAGAGGATCTGATTTGGCTCTAATTTATGAACCTGATAATGGGGGTTGCTATATTTCATTATTCCTTTCTCGAATTACCAGTGCTAAATTACCATTCATGCTGGTTAGTGGTAGCACTGGTGCTAATTTTTTTTTCCATAGCCAGGGATCTGAACTGGCTTCTCAAGGAAGAGAACTTGCTAATCATTTCAAGATTGAAGGAACACCAGTGATGATCGGTAATTTTTTTTTAATTTAAAATATTTTATTGGCAGTTTATGAATAAAATGGTGGGTTGAAGATCCTGATTTGTTCCTTGATTCCTCTGAACAATATTATTTTAGAATGTGTGTTAGAATGTTCACTCACTTTTTTAAAGAATTTTAAGAAATTTTCTGAAGAGCTATAGACTCTCCACTCCTACAGATAACATAGTGATCCTCCAACTTCATTTTGAAATGTTGCAGGCATTGGAATATATGCTCATTTGATATTCTATAAATGTGTGCACCATTCTTCTTTTTATTTAACTAAATGCAAAGATTTGTTTCCCAATTAACGTGAATTTACAACTCCATGTTATTTGAGTTTAAGGTTGAATGTTCTACAGAATTGAATTTGTAAGTTGAATGTCCAATTTGAGGTTTACAGAGTCAGTACAGTAAGTTAAATGTTCAAGAAGCAGAAAAATTAAGATGGAAAAGAACTGATCTTTTGTTTATACAGTATTCTTTGGTCTATTTAGAATTATCCCACCTTTTATATTCTTAGAAATTCTGCATTACTTATATTTAAACCTCAATTTTAAATGAGATTATAGCAATTGGCAGAATTATTTTTGGTCAATTCTTTCATAGTAAAAATGCAGAGAGACCTGCAATGAATTTCATTATCACGGAGTTCATTGGCATTTTTATATGAAATTTCATGCTGGTTGAAATTGATTCTGCTAGTATCAATAATCATAACAAAAATGTTTGAAAGTTCAGTTAGCAAAAAAGCCAAGTTTTCAAACTATTTTAAGGGAAAAAACAAGGACAAATAAGCTAATAATGTCAAACAATCTCTATAAAGATTGATCTTATTTACATCTAGTTATTACGTTTGTAGGGTTGAAAGCAAGAAAATTACAAAATGAATAATCTCTTTCAATCAAATAAGCTATGATAAAGACATTGCAGCATATTTTGGAGGAAACATATATAACAATGCAGAATTAAAAGACTGAATTAATTAAAATCATTTTTTTAAAAAATTAAATACAGACTTGAGAACTATGGCTTTATTTTTGCTTATTGTCTTAGATTGTTTTCAAGCAGCTTGGGGGTAGGAAAAAACCCTGCTGGCTTATGATTTCCTTCCTTTCCTTTGTTACAGTGCTTAAAGAAAAAAAGATCTTTGGAAAAGTAAAACATAATGGAGCATCTGACATTTGATTTTTCTATGGCTTTTGGGAAAGGAATAGCCTTCAATTGTATATATTTTCCAAGTACAACTGGGCATAATGGCTTTCTAAATTATCCGTACATTGTGTTTTTTGCTATTTGTTTTGACAAATGAAAGAGTTGGGAAGGATGTAGTACTGTTAAGTATCTTCTCTGTATCACAGTTAATTGTCTTTTCAAGGATGATCCCTTGAAAAAAGGATGATCCTTTGAAGCAAGGTTGACATCCATTCCCAAAGGCTATTTACATTGGGTGAAATACAAAGTGCATGCCAACATCTAATCCCAAAGAAAGTCCTCATGGACATTCTCTCTTGCTAAAAGGAAGGAGACCACTTCACCAAGCAATCCCTCATTGAGCATTTACATGTTCATTATGCAGCAAAGGACACTGAAAATAAGTTGTATATATTGGTGGCCCATTAGTAATGAGTTGCCATGGAACACACTGCTTCAGCTTTATCTTTGGCTTTATCTTTTCTCTTGCCTCCCCAGGTGGTGGAGTCTTGGCACACACTATATTAGGGGTGGCATGGAATGAGATCACTGGGCACATTAAATTTTTGATTCTGGATCCACATTACACTGGCGCTGAAGATCTGCATGTTATATTAGAAAAGGTGAGACTCAGTTCACAATTGACTTAAGTGCCAGAGATTTTGATTTATTAAAAGCACTGTATTCATATTCATTGTTCTTAAACGTACTGGTATTTTATATAAAATTCACAATTTTAATTTCTACATAGGAGAGCGGTCTTGTCAAAGAAATATATAACTGTACTGTGATAACACACATTTTGTTTAAATTAACGCATAAACCAATGCAGTCAAGTTCACAAAATCCTCTTGAATATTGCTGAAACAGTTTCAGTGGAAACTGGAAATACCTTAAATAGGAAATATTTAACTTAATAAACCTGAACTTCAACTAGTTTTAAAATACATATAACTTCCATATTTTTCTTTATAACAGAACAGTATACTGTTATTTGTAAGTTTTTCTCTTACACAGTGGGAACAGTTTTGAAACACTCTTTTTCATAATTCCAGGATGACCCTGATCACTTGCAAAGATCTGGGTAAACTGTTCCACGTTTGGAGTTTTCCTTTGTTTTCTAATTGTCATTAAAAGTGTGGGAAACAATGAATTGCTTATAGTGTGCGAATGTGTGGCTTTAAGAAAATAAACACATTGTGTCTGGTTTTGATTAAGCTCTGTATATTGCTTTATTCTTAACCTTTTCTTCTTGTAAACAAATAAATTCAATAACTTCTTTCAATGAAGTATTGGAATAAGCTCATTGTTGACTTAGATGCAATCCCTAATTGTGGGCAATTGAAATGGAAGCAAAAACTGTTTTATGTTACATTCTGTTATATTTAATTAATATTAATAAATATATTAAATAATTTTTATTCTATTTTACTAAACTATAAACAGTTAATATCCCCTTTATTTGTGGTCTACTCTTGATGAATTCAAAGGCACATCTATCAATTCAATGTAGTTTTCTGGCAATTTGTTACCCTAATTCAGTTTGTAAGAGTTTGTCTCTGGCAAATACTGTTTTCTGTTTTTATAGCTTTATTTTATATATAATTGGGAGTTTTTATTGGCCATATTTATATTATAAACACACACCCAGTGAATAAAGACATAAACCAAATATAATCTTATTATTTCAAAATGCATAAATCTGCGGCTGAGTAGCTGTAATTATTTATAGCTTTAAATTTCGCTTTTGTGCATGTACGGATGGATACATAAAACCAGTTCTTTCACTAATACACCAGCAATGGATTAAAGCACTGAATTTCATTTTCTCTTCCCTTTTTTTACAGGGCTGGTGTGGCTGGAAGGGTCCAGATTTCTGGAACAAAGATGCTTATTATAATCTGTGTCTACCTCAGCGACCAAAATGTATTTGAATACCTATGTTGAATTATAAGTGTGATAAACTAGTTGGTTTCTGTATATATGATGTATTTGTATTTAATATCATGCTTCTTACAACCCCATTGAAATAAAATTACTGCTCTAGTATTTCAGAGCACAAATTATGTATAGGATTATTTTTCAAATAAAATCTGATTATATCCTATTAATGTTGAATAGCTTTCTGCTTTTGTCATCAAATATTAACAGCTCATTTCTATATGTCTTTTGAAAGTGGCATGCTCCCAGTGTAATGTTGAATAGGTTTGCGATCTCTGATTCACAGCAACAGAAGTAAGAAGCTATAGCTACAGTGCAAGTTATTACAAAAAGGTTCTATACAAAATTTACAGATGGAGGCACATCTACAGAACACAATTTTATCAACATAATACATGTTTAATCTGAACAATTTGTTGATTGTCAGTATACTGTCTACTGCTTTATGTGTGTGTTCACATGACTAAAGAACATCAGTATACTAGTCATAAAATCGATACATGAATCAGTGGTAGAAAAATATTACTGTATATTATTGTGCACATGCAGGAATTATATGAAAAGATCTTCAAGAAGAACACGCCTTCTTGGAAGGCATTGTTCAAAATACTTTGCGTTGAGCTTTTATATTCATGTTTTTCTTTGCAGAGCTTTGTATTTCTCACGCATATTCATTTTCACATGACTCTTGAGTTCAAATCTGTATAAATGGAAAGATTTGTTTTTCAGTTGTAGAACCTGTTTCAAATTAAGCATGTGTTATAACATATATACAGCATCTAATTTCAATATAACAGATTCCAATCTTAGAAATTAATTCTGGGCAGGTAACAGTTCAGCTCTGGTCTCTTTTGGCTTATGTAGAACATTATTATGTTCTTCCTCCCATAATAATCCAACTTCTTTCAATCCACCACAATATTTTAATAACTTTTCCAACAAGTACTCACTTAGACAATGTACAAAAAGAATATTAACAATAACACTATATTGATGTCTAGAATTACTTTAACTGAGCTCAGAGTTTATCTTTAAATCAACATGTACAAAATTGAATCCTAAACGGCATTCTAAAATTCCTAGAGTGCTGCATACCACATTAAACATGGCAATTATCAACAGAAAACTTAAAAAGAAAACACTGGGTATAAAAAGCTATAAAAAATCCATAAGACTACAACTACAGGTAGAATAGTTCGTTTAGTGACTGAGGTTAAATGGCACTGAAAAAAGTGACGTGATCATTTTTCACACAACTGTTTTAGCATCCCCATGGTTACGTGATCAAAATTCAGATGCTTGGCAACTGACTCACACTTATGATGGTTGCAGTGTGCCAGGGTCATGTGATCCCCTTTTGCAACCTTCTGACAAGCAAAGTCGGAAAACCAGATTCACTTAACAACCGTGTCACTAACAACTGCAGTGATTCACTTAATAACTATGGCAAGAAAGATTGCAAAATGGGGCAAAATTCACTTCACAAATGTATCACTTAGGAACAAAAATTCCTACCTGGACTGAGGGGGGAAAGCTACCAGTCTCAGATATGAGCCCTAACCCTTCTACTGTACAGTAGTTATAATCAGTGGTGGGATTCAAATATGTGAACAACTGGTTCTCTTGTGTGGATGCCGCTTCCAGAAGTCCATTCTGGGCCTGGGCAACAAAAAATTAGCTACCCGTTCTGCTGAAGTGGTACAAACCAGCTGAATCCCACCACTGGTTATAATCCTCTAAAAATCAATTAGACTTGCTTCTGAATAATACTCCTAGCATTGACAGTCATTGGCTTCAAAAGAATGGACATAATCAATTTATACACACACGCACACACATGAAGCAGGGCATCTGCGGCAATAGTGATTGGCCTCCAAAAGGCAGGCATGAGGTGGTGATCAAAGTCCTGGCTATAGATATTCTTCCTGAAGTATGGTGCACAACTAACAGAATCTGGACTAGATAGCATGGTCTGCTTGAAATTTTGGGTTGGGAGTATCCTGATCAACATCCCCTAGATTCTAACCAAACTAGTTCTGTCCCTGTGTAGTATACTTACCATCTGATCTCCTCTTTCTGTTGACAAGTCTATTCCTTTCACATACTCCTTTCTGCATTTTGGAGTCATCGGTATGGATGGATTCATCATTGTCACACAAGGAATTACACTGTGCTCCTGCTTTCTTGTTCTGAATTTGTTTCACTTTCATGAGGAACTGGGCACACTCCAAAAACCCCAAAGCCAGGGCAAGGTCTTCTGCTGTTTGACTATTATTATTGCGCAAGCTGAAGCACACATTTAAAAGAAAATCAATTCATTTGACTGGCAATCTTGTATTTCTCATAAAATTAGACCATCATAAAATTTTATTTTTTAAAATATTGGATAAAATGTTGAGTTGAAACACTACCGCCCGAATGCATAAATGTCTATTGATAAGCTTCTTTGTAATCCATGAAGGATTTAAAAAAAAGACCATGTATTGTATTACACTGGAAATAAGTTCCATTGAAACAAATTGCAAGCAGACTTGTTTCTGCATACGCATAAGTAGCATTAAACTTGGTAAGTAAGTAGCTTGTTCTGTTGAAATCAATAGCACAAGTTATATATAATGTTAAAGTCTCTCAATTTCTGTGGATTGAAATATAAATGCATTTGTGCTGAATTGAAGCCTAAACATCTATCCTCTTCGGAAAAGAAATAATTTGAAACTTCGTGCACCCAATTAACAAAAGTAATATTTTTGTAAATTAGTCTAAAATTCAAAGTTGAACAAATTAGGCAAGCTTTTTCACATTTTGAGTAGCTTGCCACAAGCAGCCTTTCAGAAAGTCAGATTAGGACAAAAAGTTACATTCAATTGAACATATAATTTAATGCAAAACCAGTGAATTTATTTGATGAAACCAGTATGGGATGCACTTACTCAATGTTGGCCTGACTGGCAACGAGTAAAGTGAGACACTCCAAACTCCCAACTTTAGCTGCCTTATGGATGGGAGCTTCTCCATTCCAATCCTAAATAAAAAATAAATACTTTATTTGTAAATCCAATCACTTCATCATTGTTCAGTGTTAATATTTAAAAGAATGTTGGTGGTTAAAGAAGTTTAATTTCAGGTGTAATATAATTGTCAATCCCAAAATCTTGTCTCAGTAGATACTATTTGCAAGCTAAAAAAAAAAATTATCCATTAGGATGAGCTAAAAAAAAATACACTCTTCTGGATTGGGTCTACTAAAACCTATGACCAAACTTAGTTTGAAAATAATAGGTTTTATTTTTGTCCTTTGAAAAATAATCCTGGAAACAAGATGCTATCATATCTTCTCTTAACAAAACATTTTTCTATTCCCAGGACCGTGATACTTCATTTAGTATTACTGCAGACTCAATGGCAATCCTACCCAAAGTAAAGCAGAATGTTCTAAACTACTTAGGTGTGACTTCATGTTACATGTGCCTTGTTCATAGTCTCAGACAGTGGCTGTTCCTTCCAACATAAAATGGAAAAGTCAGGCTCCATTGGAGCTCCATGGTCTGAAAAATTAAAAATGTACCTGTTGGTTCAGATTGGCTCCCGTCTGTAGTTGCCAAAGCAGGAAGAAGGCATGGCCTCCACCAGCTGCCAGATGAGCTGGTGACTGAACAAAGGCAGCAGCAGCTAGATTGACTTCAGTCCCTGCTTCCAACAGAGGACTCGGACCATGAGGCTATAAAACAGAGGAGCTTTTGAAGTATAGTCCTTGTGTAATTCACCGCTCTTTCATTAACAAAGGAGTAAGAATTGGCAAGCATTATAAAAGAAGTGCAATTTTCAAGATAGTCACCCTTTCAGAATTTAGTGATTTTGTGAGCTCTACTAGGAGAATGGTACAACTGTACAAGCAATACAGTTGGAAAATTGCTTAAAAAATAACCTATGGCAACATATATATATTCCTTACCTCTGAGTTGCTATCCCAAAGTAGCATTTTTGCTTGTCTTTGGTAGACTTATCACAAAAAAAACCCGGTGTAGGCTTCTTGAGCACAGCTTTGTGGTGCATGCTAGTGCATCTGATTCAAGACTGGCAGTGTTAGCTCATGAATACTCACTCTGGCTGCTGTCCCGCCCTCTCTGCAAGCAAACTGGTTTCTGCACGTACACAAACAAGAGCACATGCAAGTCTGTTTGGCTGGGGAGATGATTGGCTTTTCTCAACTTGTTATGCTTATGAGATAGGAGGGAGCAGGAAATACTGAGGACAGGTGGAGCAGCCATGCAGCACTGTCCAACCAGGCACGTATCACACATACACAACAGTCAACCACAGTTGATGGCTCTGCTTTCCAACTCCTCCCTTTACATTCCTACATCTACACACCAGTTAATTCCTGAGTGGACTTCAGACTTCCTTCAGCCTGTCTTGGCAAGATGTTTCAGAAGAGTTCAGCATCCTTCATATATTAAAGATGCAATGCACATTAAAATTTATACTGTGTCTTATGTCTGCTTACCTAAACTTCAGTAGACTTTACTCCTAAACATCTGCTTTGGTCTGTATAGACCTACACCCACTGGTGGTCATCTGGATTTTTACAGGCTAGATTTAATGTCCAAGAAGGTTAAATCAACTGGTTGGGAACTTGAGATGAATAAACTGAAGCCAGTCAACAAAGAATAAATCTATGATAAATTAAAATTTTAATATTTAATGTGGCCTGCCAAAATTTAATTTTTTAAAACTGGAGATATAAAAGTTGTTACAAACTGACTGTGATCGTTATATACTGAATTGATTAAGCAGCATCTGCAAACAACAGCTTTAATGATAAACCAAAACATAAAGTTAACTTATTTTTCAGACAACTCAAGATAAGCACACCTTCCTCAGCAATTTGTTTCTCTACTGAACTACTTTGTTAGGAAGTTTTTCTAGCAATCTGCCAAAATCTTGCAACATCATTTTGTATCTGGCTCTCTGGGATGATGGAGTTCAGATGTTAATCTTCTATCTGCTGCCTCCTCGGTTACTTGTAAGTGCTATTCTTTCTTCAATTATCTTTTGTCAAGGCTAAACATACATCTCTCCCTTAGTCTCTTCTGGTAAGACAGCTTCAATTCAATGTTGTCCTTCTAAAAGTAGTACTGATCCCAATTTGTCTTTCACAAAGAGAACAAAATTATCTTGGAATTATATATGAGTAGTATCTGTGATTATCTATAATTCTTCCCAGATTGTTTTCACATATATTATTACCAAGTCAGGTATCCACCATCCCATATATTTTCTTAAGTGTTCTCGTTTGCCTGTATTAAATTTCAGTCTGTTATTTCAACCCATTTCTTTATTGTATCAAAATCAGGTTGAATTTTTATTGCTTTCTACTCTATTTGCTATCACACCCCATTTTGCGTCATCTACAAATTTGATAAAGTAGTGCTTGGTCAGAATCTTCCATCCTTTTCCACAAGCTATTAATTAAAATGTGTGAAATCCTAGGACTGAGCCCTCCAGCATCTCTCACCTTTCTAGATGACAGCGCCATTTCCAAGCACTCTTTCAAACCAGCAATGAGTCTGCCTAATAGACATATCATCCAGCTGATAGTCATCTAGCTTGCTAATATATCTTGTCATCACTTTGAAGAAATCTAGATATGTTCCTGCAATATATTTAGGAAGTTACCCAAAGTGAAATGTGATTTCTTCCAAATAAATTCAGGCTGATTTTTAATGATCATTATACAATGCAGATTTTTAATGATCATTATACAAGCCAGAGCTGCAAATGCTGAAGCAATAGTGTCCATATTTCTCTGTTCAGTATGTGGCAGAACATTCCGTGCTAGCATCGGTCTCATCAGCCATCTACGGACACACTGCTGATGGCCCATAATCCATAAGATGTCAAGGTCTTCATCGAAATCAATGGACGAACAACATACAATGCAATCATATGCAATACATCTAGCCTGAAGATCCGAACTAATTCAAGGTCAATTATTCTGTTTCCAACAAGCTCAAGGTGGAAACTTTCAACCAGGTCCTCACAGTTGCCCAGTGGAAAGCATATACTTTTCTCAAAACAGACTTAGCCAAAGAAGAAGTGGAGTAGTTTTGTTATTATTCTGTTATCATCTGCACTGAGGAGCTATGCTATAAATTCTGTTCTCTTGTTCGTATTTTGAACATATCTGGAAAAAAAACTTTTGTTATTAGCATTCTTCACTAAGCCTTAGGTCATTTTGATCCTTAGCTTTTCTGACATAAATTCTACAATTCTAGGCTATAAATATGCACTATTTCTTCATTCTGTTCCTCTTTCTTCATGCTCTGTTCCTCTTTCTAGTTTCCTATATATGCTCATCAAGATTTCCAGACTTTCTCTAAGCATATTGTGTAGCCACATTTCTTCTGCTATCTTCCTTCCCCTATACTGTATATGGACACACTCACTGGAAATGTTTGCTAACTCCCTTCTTAGAAACTCCCATCCTTCTTGTCCATTAGCTTTTTCTAACATGTAATTCTAACAATCCTCATTCTAAGTTTATCAAAATCTACTTTTTTGAAGTCCAAGATGTTTTTGACTATACGGAGTTTAGTCCCTTAAAATCAATAAGACCAGCTTTATGTGACCATTTTACAGCAGATGTTTCTCTCTCCTTTATATAAGATAAAGGAAACCAGAAGAGAAACATATTTCACGTCACTGCTTCTCTTTTGTGGATACTATGAAGAAGTGGCTAAGCCAAGCTTGATTGTCTTGAGATTGCCTATATTATGAGTAACATCTATATACTACTAAAACACTCATGTCTGTAACCTTTAACTGGGAGAAAGTGTATCATAGCAACAATTTTTGAATGAAGATACCTCAAATGGACTAATTTAGAGAATGCACTCAAAATCTGGGAGTCATGATTCCTGTGGGATTGAAATTTGGCAAATTTGAGATTATTTCATTGCTGCTATGCTGCTACTCAGAGATTCCATAACTGATCCTGACTTAGACCTCTGGAGGCCATGTAGACTACTCCTCTTGTGGCTGCTGGAGATCAGGTAGACCAGCCCTGCCCTAAGCACTCCAGAGGTATGTAGATCCAATCCTATCACTGGATCCAGCGAGCAGTTTGCCATGGTCAAGACAGCAAGAAATTGGAAGTTGTTCACTCTTCCACTGCTTTTTGGCCCTTGGTCATCATATTTCTCTGTTCAGGTAAGCAAATATCTCTGAAACGATGGTCCAACAGATCACGTGTTGTCTAGTCTAGTTTATAATAAAATGGTAATGCTTATTTAAATATTGTCTAATGCAGTGGTTCCCAACCTTTTCTATACCCCGCACCCCTAGAACACTTCTGATATATTCTCGCACCCCTTACAAAAGTTCGAAATAATGGCAACAAATTATGCATATACACTATAATTTTGAAAACCCAAGTTTTCGCACTCCCTGGAATATTGTCTTGCACCCCTGGGGACGCAAGCACCCCTGGTTGGGAACCCCTGGTCTAATGCTAAACACTGGGAGGGGAGAATAATTTAAAGTTTCACTTACTGGCCTCTTTTTGCCATGGGTTCCAAGTATTAGAATATGCATATGATACATTGCCATCCATCAGGCTGACCCTCCTGACACATCCTAGTTTGTTTAACTGAGATGTACTGACCTCTTCCATCATGCTTTAGGAAAGAAAAAATGAACAGGCTCTGGGTCTTGTTTAGAATTGGCTTACAGAAGCTCCAATTCATATGGCAACTAAAATTGGGAATTTGAGGTGTCTCACTTTACTTGCTGAAAATTAGGCCAGCACTGAAAAATAGTTTGATTCCCCTTGGGTTCCTTAGGGCTTTTTGTTATTTTTTATAACTATCTAGATTTGGAGAAAATGATTATTTCACCAAACTGCAAAGAATTCACCATGTATCTCCAGGGAGGCCATATTTTGATTGTACACTGTGGAACTAGATTATTTATACACTTTAAGCCTAACAGCACTAAAATGCTACTTGCTTCCAATAAAACATTATAGTGGCTTATTACAGGTAGTCTTGACTTACAACAGTTTGCTTAGTGACCATTCAAAGTTACGACAACACTTAAAAAAGTGATTTATGACCATTTTTCAGTCATTGCAGCATCCCCATGGTCACGTGATCAAAATTCAGATGCTTAACAACTGATTCATATTTATGATGATTGCAGTGTCCTGGGGTCATGTGATCATCATTTGCAACCTTCTGACAAGTGAAAGCCAGAATCACCTAACTTGACACCTGCAGTGATTCACTTAACAAATGTGGCAAGAAAGGTCGTAAAATGGGGCAAAATTCACTTAACGAATGTATCCCTTAGCAACAGAGATTTTGGGCTCAGTTGTGTTCATAAGTTGAGGATTACCTGTATTAATGCCTCAAAACTTTAGCATGTGTTTATTACAAGGGAATGAACATGTTCAAGGTAATGATTATCTGTTAAAAAAATAGGTACAATGCCCTCAGGTGAAGATCAACTTCTGGTGAAAGCAGCAATCAAATTTTGTTTTTATATGTTTATCATTGCATTTATCTAACAACTAATTTTTAGATTGAAGCACTTAATTTTTAAATATGAATGTAAAGATAAACTACTCCCAATTCTGTGGTTATAGCGCAAGAAAAAATTTCTCTTCCAGCCCAGTTAACTTGTCAGTGTTATGGCTACTTTTGAATTTCTGATGTTGGAATGGTTCTTTTTATACATTTTATATTGTTCCCTTTTTATTGCTGGATGCTCATTAAAATCAGTAATGAAATAAAACACTATCAAAAAAAAGTAAACTGCTACCAACAAAATTTAAAAGTACCATAAAATGATTCTGCTGAGCACTGTAATCATATCTCCCAAGTTCTACTTCTCATTTGATCTTTAGATTGCTATTATTTCAGACAATATTTATCAAGTATAAATGAGGATTCCTGTATCTCTCCCTCATTATTGTTTGGTATTTGAGTCCTCTTCCTTTCCATTTACAAGGATACCTCCATTTAGGACAAGCCAAAAAGATTCCAATTTTTTTTGCAATTTGCTTATGCTCAGAGGGACTCTTGTCTTTACTGTCATCTTTGGCATTTGAGTTCCTCTCTCTTTCCAGTTACAAGTTCACCTCTTCGCACCACTCTTTCAGATTGTTTTCAAGACTATATCAAATGCTGTATACGCGTTTGGGAGAAGTATCTACTATTTTTTGAGTTGCTTGCTCTATTGTATTACAGGGGTTGGAGGACGAGGACCGGCGTGCATCATGTCTGACTGGAGAATTCTGGGAGTTGAAATCCAAACATCTGAATGTTGCAAAGGTTGAAACACGGGGCTCTAGAAAGAGCAACTCTTCCGCTCAAGTGCCCGGTTGACGAGATTGAACACCCAATGATGAGCCTTCCATTCCTTTCGCTGACCCCGCCTCTCGGATAGCGTGCGCGCATGCTCATTTACCCTCTTTCCCGCGGCCGTGAAAGAGAAGGAGGCGGGGCGATGGCAGGGCGTGGGTCTTTGGAGAAACGCTTGGTACCTGCGTTGCTAAGCGACGCGTTCTTGTCTCGCCTTTCTGCGACTACTCGCCGGAGGGCGCAATTCGCGATGGGCACCGCCGGTGAATCCAGTGAGTCACAATTCATGGGAATTGAATCGGGCGGGCTCATTTTGTTCCTTTATTCTCTTTTTTTTCCTGTCCCGCCGCTTTTGTCAGCAATACAGTAACATGTTTCCAAGTAACGATTATCAAGAGGGCTTTAAAAAGCGAGAGTCCAACTCTTGCGGTGCCCTAGTCCTTAATTGGTGGAACAGCTTTGATGGAAGTCCTTTGCGCATTGTCGGGGTGTGTGTGTGTCTGTGTCTGTGTGTGTATGTGACCCAGCGAGATCGTAATCATTTTTACTGCCCTTAGAAGAGCTCTGGCGATCTCGGACATCAGAGTACAGAAATATCCTGATGCAATCACTCCGAAGGACTTCTTCCCTATCCTTTAGCCTTCCAGCTATGTTGGGCCATTTCTCCATCACTTCCAGCCCATCACCAAGGCCACGTTGCCTGGAGATTTTTAGATTTGATCCAGCACGGTCAAAGGGCTCCTTGCTGGGGGTCCCAGAGTAGACAAGCCTCATAATGACACAAAGGGTCACCATCAAAGGGCAGCTGGGAAGTTGATGACCCTGGAGGAGGAACAGGTGTGCACTCTCTGGTATTGGTGCACCAGAACCAGTTTGGCATAGTGGCTCAGGAACTGGGCTGCAAACCAAGAGATTGAGTTCTAGGCATGAAAGTCAGCTGGTTGACTTTGGGCTGGTTCCTCTCTCTCTCTCTGCTTGGCTTACCTCCGATGTTTGTGGTTGTGGGGAAGAGGCAGGAGGATTAAACATGTTTGTCAAGAAAACATTTCTGCCTAAAACTAGGCCAGCACCTTGGTGATTGAAAATGGCCCAGATGAGAACAACATAAATTTTATGGAATGAAAGAATCAGATATGCTTAAAACTTTGAACATCTTTTCAGGTGTTTCTGGTTTCCATTTGTTAACGTTTTTTCTTCCTAATAATATATGCATGTAATACTTGTGACTTATTCTTAGCAAGATCAGATCGTGTACAACTGTCTTCCTCTAATAAAGGACAAAATACTAGTTTTGCACAGATGCCTTTCATTGCAGCCTAAGCGTCTAGTCCAATGGAGTACCCCATCAAACCGTGGTGAGGCTCAGCTTCGCCTTGTAGGTAAAAAGCAAATTATGGTTGTATTCTGCTCCCAAAGAGAAACCTATCGGTCAGTTTCAGATGACATGCATTTGAATGGAAACATAATAAATAGAAGAATATGTAGACTTTGTGTAAAATAGCTTTTGGAATCACTAGGCAGATATACCAAGGACTGGCTATAATGTAAAATTGGCAAAACTGCTAAGTTTGTTTTTTCTCCACTGTTGCTCCTTCTTGAAAATCTTGTAATTCTAGAAATTCTCTATAGTCAAAATTTTGGAAGTCAAGGAGTTGCCTCCTTTTTGTTCCAGTGATATACAATTAGAAGTCTCTGAGTATACTGGGAAGAGCTTTGAGCCCCTGGAAGAGAGGTGAGATGTAATACAATGTAATGAATAAAAAGTAATGAAGATGTAATGAATAAAAAGTCAAAGTAGAGTTGTATACTAGAGTTAAAAACAATGCATATTTTGCTGCAATCCATTAATCACAATTGGAATATAAGGCAACAATGTAGTATGGGTGCTAAATTAAGAGCCAAGATGCCCAGGCCCTTTCCTGGCATTCCTCATTTAGTGTATTGCCTGTGCTGGCTGTCAGAGGATGTCCTTGGCATCCCACCCACCCCATGGCACTTCCCATCCCTATGTTCCTTACCTGACATTCTGTTCATCCTATTTAACAACCCTCCCATTATGCCACAGGAACTGCCAAGATTGCCATTACTAAACAATGACATTGCACTTTACGACCGCATCATTTATGCAGGCAATCCTGGTCCCAATTGCCATCATTACCCAGGGACTACCTATGTATGGTCAGTTCTTTATCATCAGGAGTGTGGCTGAGTGCATTGGTTAAGTTTGGTTAACTTGTGACTAGTGGATCTGTTTTTAACCATTAATACTGCTTCTATATGTGTTGTTTTTTGTTTGTCTGGTTTTTTGTGATTTTATATTTTAACACTGATAGCAATCCAGAATCATGAATTTGATGAATAAGTAAGTAAGTAAGTAAATATGCTTACCCAATGAGGTCAATGGGAAATAATTAGAAATCAGTCCAAGAAGCAATTCTTTAAAAAAAAGCCTGGTATCCTAAGGAAAATGGGAATTAAAGGGGAAGCAAGTAACCATTTCTCAAGCTTGAGAATGTTTCTCAGTTTTTATTACAGACAGGATTGGAATAATATAAAAGAGAAAAATGAAGCCGACTAGTGAACCTCTGCCTCGTGAACATAGTACTGAGACTGTTCTCAAGTGCATTTTAAAGGAGTCCAGTAGTGAATTGGATAGTTTACAATGGCTATCCCGTCAAGGTAACAAACAATACACATTCTAGCTTTCACAGTTCTTAATTTTTTATCACGTGGTTGGGATAAAGTGAAGGGATACTTTCATAGTACTTGAATTATAAGAAGCCACACTCTTGTTTCCTGAACAAATGGAGGAACGAAATTACAGGCACTATAAACAGCCAGAATCTCTGCCAAGAAAAGGAAGAGAGCTTTTTGCAGTGTCATAGATTGTCTTTTTTAAAATGGCCGTTCTTTTTCTCAAGAAAGGTAGAGGGATCATGCTGCTGACCTCTGTCTATAATATAAATGAGCTAATCTTCCAGGGAATCATGCTTTTTTCTCCCTCTTCTCTATTACTCGCAGCTAGAACAAAAACACTGCTCAGAAAATTAGATTTGATCCTTTTGATTTAGTTTTCAGTGTAAACCACCTTACATCTCTTCCTCTACTATATGCATAGCTCTGCAGGGTCAGACATATCTATAGCACCACAGGGCTTCTCAGCAAAACATTGACCTTTTGTTGGGAAATTATATTTTATAGAATTTGTTTAGAAAATAATGGAATATACATCACTTCCCCCTTATGGTATTGCAGTTTATTTTGTAATACTTTCCTTCAACAAATGGAGGGACAGTTATATAAGTGGCAACACATTTGATAGAGTATTGCTCTGTCTCTATTTTTTTGTATTTTGACATGCAATTAACAACTATTGATGTAATCAATGACTTCAGGTTGCATTTCATTTGGAGGCTTTTTTCTTTTTGTTTCATTTCATTGTCAAGTTTACATTCAAATAAAGTTAAAGTTTAGGCACCCAGTAAAGCAGAAAATCCAAGCTTTCTGGGTAAAATTCCTCTTGAAGTATTCCACCTACAAATATAGTATCCACATAGTACAATGAATGATGGACTGCATTTGCATGTATATTTCCTGACAGATAATGCAGTCAGCATTGAGAGTTGTAGAGAGTAAGGAGAGAGGAAATGTAACTCTTTTCTTCAGTATTTTCAAAACTAAGTAACCATCTGCATAGTTACATGTTGTGCTCAACTATCTTTGGATTGGGGCCATTTTCTTTCCCTACTACAGGATCTTGAAAAAAGCACAGAGTTGAAGGAAAAAATATCAGAACTGAAATGTGAACTGAGCTTTTAACATGACTTTATTTAATACAATCAGGATGGCACCCCTAAGATGTGTCTACTTGCCAACTTAATCAAGTCACCAGGCCTCTGGATCCAACTCCTTGTATGCTCCTCACACTACTTCTGTTCACCCATCCCTCGTCATAAATGAGTTTAATTCCCATCCACCTATAACTGACATGCAGCTTCAACAAATGCCTATGAAGAAAAAATGAATTTTCTGGTCCAAAAAGCTTCTCCACATCTGCTTTATATGTTGATTATTTCATAAACAACCACAGCTGTGTCTCTGTTTTTAAACAGGGGCTTCCGATCATAATTTTCTGCTTGCAAAGGCTGAAGAACTTCTGGAAAATCGAATCAAAGATGGGGAGCCACTGGCACATTTTCTCAAAGGGCAACTTTATTTTGAAGAGGTGAAACTGTACAACTTTTAAAAGAAAGTAAAGAATACTTGAGGGAGACAGCATCAAAAGCAAGGATTAAGGACAAGTTCAGACGCCAATATTTTAGAACTCATTTCCCCAATGTGGTGCTCTCCAGAAACAGTAGCATTTATAATTCCCAACTCCACTGGTCCTACTAGCTGGGGAGTATGATATTTCCAACACAGTAGAATAGCTTCAAGCTTGAGAAAATAGTTGATTTTAGTGTAATTAAGAATATAGAAAATTACCCTACTGGCTTGGTTCAAATAGTCCTGTATTTGATTTAGTATAAGTAAATCAAGCCTGTATGTCTTGTTCAATAAATATTGGTTGCAAATACTGGCAGACTGCTATGTGTGGTTTCAGTTTATGCATTCATATTCTAGCCCAGGAGCAGACACCATGTGGCACTGACTTATATTGCTAAAACTTTTAGTTCCCAAGCATTCCCCATCATTTCTCATGCTTGCTTGGGTTGTTGGATGCTGCAAGGTTTCCAGTTTGATTGACAATAGGAATCCAGAGTCACTAACAAAGAAGGGTTTGCACAACCTCTTTTTTAACACAGAAAAGTCAATGATCTACTCAACAAACATGCCGACAAGGATGCTGCCATTCATTTCATAGGAACCATGTAGAATGAGAACAATGGCCTAATTAGTCTGCGCTATTCACATAGCAGCCAAGGCGATTGGATGCTTGGTGCAATAACAATCTCCTACTAATGTTCCCTAGCACCCAATAGAAAGAAGCATACTTTCTCCAACATAGTTTCCAGAATATCTTCTTCAGTAGAGAAATTTGCACATCTTATAGCAGATGCAGATCAAAGATTTGGATCCAAGCATTTTACTCTTTTGCAAGGTTTCCATCCAGGAACCTATTTGCTGTTAGGCCTTTGTTTATGTTCTGAGGATCTAAGGAATCAGGTATAAATATATCTTATAAGCATTTTCTTCTGAACATACTTACCTATCATTTCAGGTCCTATTATTGTTTGAATTTGATGAAGTACTACTTGATGCACTTAATTTCAAATTTCTAAGATGCTTAGTCACCCTTTTAATTATTTTAAATGAAGAATATAGTATCTAGATAGGAATACTATTCTGAACGCTTCATCAGTTTGTAAGATTTACTAGCTGATTTAATCCTAAATATTTGATTTTCTATGTGCCTGGTGCAGAAACGTTATGAAGATGCATTATTACAATTTGAACAAAACACAGATTTTCAGTCCATGTATCAGTTGGGTGTAATGTACTACGATGGATTGGGAACTCCTCCAAATTCTGTAAGTTGTAACCAGAAAGTAAATATTCATTATTTTTCATAATTTATATACATACACTGATGGAAAAATTATTTGATCCCCCTGCTGATTTTGTACGTTTCCCCACTGACAAATGCTTGGTCTATAATTTTAATGGTAGGTTTAATAGTGAGACAGAATAACAACCCAAAAAAATCCAGAAAAACGCATTTCAAAAAAGTTATACATTGATTTAAGTAAATATTTGACCCCTTCACAAAATATGACTTAGTACTTGGTGGCAAAACCCTTGTTGGCAATCACAGAGATCAGATGTTTCTTGCAGTTGGCCACCAGGTTTGCATACATCTCAGGAGGGATTTTGTCCCACTCCTCTTTGCAGATCCTTTCCAGTCATTGAGGTTTTGAGGCTGATGTTTGGCAGCTTGAACCTTCAGCTCTCTCCACAGATTTTCTATGGGATTAAGGTCTGGAGACTGGCTAGGCCACTCCAGGACCTTAACGTTCTTCTTCTTGAGCCATTCCTTTGTTGCCTTGGCCGTTGTGTTTTGGGTCATTGCCATGCTGAAGTACCTATCCACGACCCATTTTCAATGCCCTGGCTGAGGAAAGAAGGTTCTCACCCAAGATTTGACAGTACATAGCCCCGTCCATCGTCCCTTTGATGCAGTGAAGTTGTCCTGTTCCCTTAGCAGAAAAACACCCCTAAAGCATAATGTTTCCACCTCATGTTTGACAGCGGAGTCTTGGCCACGGTGGAGAATCTGGAATCTGATTGATTGCTTCTGTGGACAGGTGTCTTTTATAGAGGTAACAAGCTGAGATTAGGAGCACTCCCTTTAAGAGAGTGCTCCTAATCTCAGCTCGTTACCTCTATAAAAGACACCTGGGAGCCAGAAATCTTGCTGATTGATAGGGGAACAAATACTTATTTCACACTTATTTCACTCATTAAAATGCAAATCAATTTATAACTTTTTTGAAATGCATTTTTCTGGATTTTTTTGTTGTTATTCTGTCTTTCATTGTTAAAATAAACCTACCATTAAAATTATAGATTGATCATTTCTTTGTCAGTGGGCAAACATACAAAATCAGCAGGGGATCAAATAATTATTTCCCTCACTGTACATTTATTATTCAACAGTAGCACAAATTCTGAATAAGAAAAATGCAAAGGGAATGAAACTGCAAATCTTTTAATTCCATGGTTCAATATATGAAGTTCTCCCCTCTCATGGGAGGTAGCTACAAGTCTACAAGATATTGAATTGCCTATATGGCATCTGCAAAATACAAAACTACAATGACTGTGGGAATCTTCTGCATGAATAGTCCATTTTGACAACATGGGTTTGTTACAAACAGATCATGCCAAACAAATCTTATTTCATTCTTTGATAAAGTGACTAAATTAGTGGACTAGTGAAATGCAGTGGACATAGTATACTTGGATTTCAGTAAAGGATTTAACAAAGTAGGCCAAAACTTACTTCTTAGTAAGCTAGAAAAATGTGGGACAGACAGCATTACCACTAGATGGATTTGTAATTGGCTGACAAATCACACTTGTGTGATCCCTGTAGGCACCTATCAGTTTAAATGAATGTCCATACAAGTGGTTTATGAAAATCTATCGGAGGCAACCATCTCCAAAACTTATAGGCCACAAGACTTATGTTGGATCTGCCAAGGTATCTGTAAATTCGGAGTCAGGAATGGCAGAGGACAAGAGTTGAGATTGCTATTAATATGGAAGGTTTTCTCCAACTGGCTTAAGATGTTTTTCGTTAGGGCAGCAATAGCTTAATTTTCAGAGCCAAACCTTCATTATGATTTTCTGAACTGAAAAGTCCTTTTAATAAAAGAGTTCATTTATACAAAATTTCTTGCTTTGAATTTTGATAATTGTTCCTGAAGATTCTACTGCTTTTTAAGTGAAATAGCAATAGTACTTAGACTTATATACCTCTTCATAGTGCTTTGCAGCACTCTCTAAGAGGTTTACAGGGTCAGCATATTGCCCCCAACAATCTGGGTCCTTATTTTATCAATCTTGGAAAGATGGAAAGCTGAGTCAGCCTTGAACCAGTCAGAATCAAACTCCGGCTTACGTTCCACTGTAATGTTATGTTGCAAAGCACCAAGTATTTCAGCTAGGCACACCTCCTCTGGGTTTCATCTCAATAGAAATTGCTGTTGGAATCAGATCTCCATCAATTAAATGTTGTAACATTTCATCTCAAGCATGAAACTTTCATGACTTGGTCTGGCATGCAAGTAGATTGCTTGTTCACAAGTGAGTCATGTCCTGAAATGATCACCTACTCTTTGCTTTGGTTCACCTGCAGAAGAAAGGAGTTGAATATATGAAGAAGATTCTCAATTCTGACTCTCCTAAAGCAAGACATTTAAAATTTGCTGCTGCATACAACCTTGGCCGAGCTTACTTCGAAGGACATGGGACTCATTTTTCTGAAGAAGAAGCTGAAAGGTAACCTTTTTTTATAATGCACTCATGTATGGGCATATCAGCCTGACAATTTTGGAGCCAACTAGAATAATATAGTCTGAGCCATGATTTCAACACAATGGACTAATGCATGGATAAGGGACTTGTGGTTCTCCCAGTGATGTTGAACTACAGCATCCAAAATGCTTTATGCTGGATGGGACTGCTTAGTTACAGTTTGATGGTTTTTGAAGAACTGTGTACAGTTTAAGTTTTACAACATCTGAGAAACTTCCACACCGCTATGAATGAAAATAATCAATGTTACTATTGTTTTCTAGATTGTGGCTTTTTGCTGCAGACCATGGGAATCCAAAAGCAAGTGTAAAGGCTCAGAGTACGCTTGGAATGCTGTATTCAGCACATGCTAAGGATCTTAAAAAGGTAGCTTTTTCTTTGGGGTAGTTTTATTCCAAGCCCTGCATTCAACTGGCCAAATAGAGTCTCTTTCCATTTGGAAATGACAAAAAAGAGGCAGCAAGACGAAGAGGAGAACAGAGACCCAATGTTATATAGTGATTAAGGAGTTGGACCAGGACTGGGGAAACTCAGTCTACCATCAGCTACAGAATCTCACTGGATGATTTTGGGCCAAAGGCTCAAACAACAATCTTGAGGGATCTTATCTATTGGCTAAAAAAAAAAATACTATATTTCGCTGTTGTATTAAAACCTAAGCAAAATAGCTGGCAGCCTGGAAATAGAAATATGCATATAAAGAACAAAGCATTTATTTTAAATTGGAAATTATGGTGTCTCATTTTTCACTCCAGAATAATGAAATGTAGGATTATTTCCTATCTAAATAGCACAGGCAACTGCTGAAGAATGTCAGTTACATACACAGTATCACTGCCAGTTTGAAGATTGACAATCTTCATATTTCTGGGTAGCTAGAGAGGTTCTTCCTAAACACAAAGCATAATCCTTAACTCTGCATCTATCCGTCCACATAGCCTCAATATAGCAAAGATCTCTTTCTTCTTCCCGCCCAAATGATTTTTGGAAAGTTGTTTTTCTGCAGGCATTCTTTTGGCATTCAGAAGCTTGTGGGAACGGAAGCTTGGAATCGCAAGGCATCCTTGGGATTATGTATCTTCACGGACATGGCATACATCAAAACCTGAAGGCTGCTTTGGAGTGCCTCAATCAGGCATCGCATCGAGGAAATGTCTATGCTAAAGGCCATTTGGTGGAATATTATTACAAAAGAAAATTTTTTATAAAAGCGGCCGAGTTTGCCAAAAGGTGAATTCATTTTAGTTTGTTCTTCAAGGGGAAGCTAATTGAGAAAAAGCATAAATCAAATTCACCAGTATTTATGTGGGTAGACAACTGAACATTTGTACCTAACGGGCAAGAGGTCAGCATATGTATTTCAGATGCTTTGTGATACATACATTATTTTAAAATAATGCATTATTAAAAATAACATTTTGAAATCTCTCCTGTTGTGGCTTTTAAAGTCCTCGGGCACAAAGATTTTTATGCAAGAGCTTTTCCTATCTATGAGCAATTAGTAATTGCTATGCTTGTACACTACATTAATTCTGGATATAGTTTATGACTTTATAAAAAATCTTTTAAGTACAGGCAGTCTTCGATCTTACAATGATTCGTTTAGTGACCATTTGACATTATGATGGTGGCTATGGCCAGTTCTTGGAGATCCTGCCATCTGAATACCTCCATAATCACCTGATCACAGTCTGGGTGCTTGACAACTTATTACTGGTGGCAGCACCTGTGATCACGTGATCATCATTTGCAACTTCTCTGCTCTTTTTAATGTAATGTCATTGAGAGCTTTCAAAACAAGAATAAAAATTAATACAATCTAAAATAAAATAAGAAGGAAAAATAAAATGAAGAATTTAAAAAAAGGGAAAAAAAGAAAAAAAAAGATAAAGTGGCTCCTGATCTTGTTACAGTAATTGTAAAGTACAATTGTATATTTACCTCTAAGTTACCTGGTGATTCTCTTCTTTCTACAATGTATCCTATCTAATTGTCAAAATCACAGATCATAAGTCGCTCTACAAGGGGCCATCCTTTAATAGCATCCAGAAGCTTCAGATGGTACTGAATGTAGTGGCATGTTACAAGTCTGCTCCACAAGCTGCATTGACAGCTAGTTTCCTACCAGGTCTAGTTCAAGGTGCTGGTTGGTTGCTTGGTTGTATCTATCTATCATCTATCTATCTATCTATCTATCTATCTATCTATCTATCTATCTATCTATCTATCTATCTATCTATCTATCTATCATCTATCTATTATCTATCATCTATCATCTATCATCTATCTATCATCTATCTATCTATCTATCTATCTAATCTATCTATCTAATCTATCATCTATCTATCTATCTAATCTTCCTGCTTCCTGTGATGGCGGTCCTACCTGGGATGGCGGTCCTACCTGGGATGGCTCTATGATGGAGCGAAGCCTGCAACAGAAAGGGGGGGCTTCCCGAGGGTCGTCTCGACCCTAATTTGAAGAGCCGAACTCGCCGGGAGTCGGGGGCCTGCCGAGTGACTCCCCAGTTTTTAGCTGGGTGATGTCGCGGAACGGAGGACTCAGCCCGGCGAGGATAGCGAAGGGATGAATGGGACGAATGGGCTCGGTGGAAGATCTGGCCTGGATTTGGCCCTGGATCCGGCCTGGATCCGGCCTGATGGAAGACCCGGCCTGGATTCGACCCGCGGCCCACGGCCTCGATGACAGTGGAGGCCGCGATGGGCCGCGACGGGCTTGGATCCGGAGGCCGCGGTGGCCTCGGACTCGACAGGCCTCGGACTCGGCA